TCCGACGCACCATGATCCCTCCTAAGGGGATGTAGATGCCGGATGAGAAGCCAAACAGCACAGCGTAGACTACAAAGAACGGGTAGCTCTCGAGGATAGCGATACCGATGGCAGAAACGCTGACCACAGCCTCAACGACACCGTAGATAAAAGCAAGTTCGGCAACATTAGCATCCACGAGGGGGCCATTTGCCAAATTGCCGACGATATTGGCCACCCCGACTACGGAGAGCAGTAACTCGGCCTGCAGACCAGGAATGCCGACCGACTCTGCACGAGCAAAGAGGAAAAGCAGAGTGACGGAGTTTCCTATCGACGTGAGTATAGGTAGCGGAATAATACTCGCAAAAACCCGATTGGTCCAGACGAGGGACAGACCTGCATGATCCAGGAACTGCACGAGTTTCTCTAGCAAGTTTTTATTGTTGGCCAGTTTATCGTCTTTGCTCCTATCATCTCCGATAGAAGTTGATATAGATTGATTCTGGGAGAAGCTAGCCTTGCTGTAACCGTCAGCCTCCGTTTCATCCCTGGGAGCAGCTTTCTCGGGGCTCAGTTGATGTTCAAGGCTGCCGTACCCCTTCCCTCCAATGTCTACCAGATTTGTCGATGTTTGACCAAATGGATTCGGCTTCATGCATTTGGCACACACTAAGATGTTTGCCTGTATGGCACTGATAATCAGCAGAGCTCCCCTCCATCCATAATGGTTGATCAAGAAGCCACTTACGACGGGTAAAGTCATTATTCCGAAACTGCCTCCTGAGTAGGCAATCCCAAAAGCTAAAGCGAAATGTTTGCGAAAACAGTCGCTGATTATGGTCATGGTGCCGGAGTAGCACATGCTACAACCAATACCTATAGTACATGGAAAATTAGAGATACTGTATATGTTAATCAAATATCATGATCATTAATGTTGATAAATGCTTTGGGCGAGTTTGATCGCAAACTGTAGATAATCCATCAGTCAACTGCTTTTAATGAGTACGCTAGCGCAAGTTAGTCCCAATCAAATGTCCCCTTTCGCTAAATTTCCGCTGTAGCTAACATTGTGCTTCAATCACTGCTTATATGTCCTCTGTCAATGTTCAGTCACTGGTGCTTGTTAACGATAAAGGCTTAGGATACCTAGATATGCACTGGTGACTATTCCGTGAGTGCATGTATTTAATATGTTAAATTCATCATAGACCACAGGCCTATTTTTCTTCCCAGGAAGCAAGAGTGCTTGCTGGCCCAGCCTCCTTGTTTGTTTTCAAGGAGTGTTGTTTGTGCACGCTAGAAACCTTACTACCCCAGTCTTAGGGCTGGAGCCATGGTTCTCACAACAATTTCAGCCGGGACTGAAAGTCCTTTACCTGTCATGAATGGTATGGTCATGAACAACACGTAGAATTCCCGACCGGACGATGCGATGAGAAGACCCGTGAATGAAATCAACGCTCCAGCTATCACCACTGGCCGATTGCCGAGGTACTTGATCAGTGCTCCGGCGATGGGTGCTGAATGGTGGAAAGCGGTCAGAAAAGAAGTAAAATATCTGGCTGGAGAACTCCCTAACTCAAATCTCAGTCCGTCACAAATGTGCTTCGAAATATTGTGACAAACGGTCATCGTTCCATTTTAAATGATTGTATCACAAGCTCTACGGGGTCTGATGAAATTTGTCCCGTATATTTGATTTTGGTATAATATTTTGCAGTCACACAATCGAAAAACTGTTAGAAACAACATTTTTTTGGTTTCATCAGATGACTGATAATTAAAATGTGTTGCTTCAACACTGCTGGTTTTACTTGACACACCCACAAGTTTTACAATGCACTGGTGGGTATTAAAAATTAACACCAACGTGTTGAAATAACACCAAAGATTTTAACACCGGTGAAAAGCGTTCGCATGATCCTTTGATAACAACCATGTAACATCCCTGTTTTTGCAGTGCATACTTTCGGTACTCGTGACACAGTGATTTTACAATGCCTTTGAAGACATCGGGAACGTGATTCTTGTATAGCGTACCTTAGTGTGGCGTCATTTGAACCAGGACGTGCAGTGCAAACGGATGGAGTGCGCCATGTTGGTTCACACGCTTGTTTTTGCGCTAATGCCTCTTTCGCAAAATTGCGTTATACTTTCAGTTGGGCTGGTTTTGCACAAGGCAAAATGAAAATAAGACACCTAAACATGCTACCCGCACTTTACTTTCACCGGTAGTGAGAGAAACGTTCCTGCAGCTTACAAAATAACAACAGCATTGCATTGACAGAAGACGATAGCCAGCCGACCAAGGCAGAACTCTGTGGAAACTCATGGAACCACTCTATGTAGAAGACACCAAGCGAACTGCCCAATCCAAATGTCAAACCAACAGTGAGGAAGCTGGCCAGCACCACGGGCCAATGACGAACTTCAGAGTCCGGTGAGAACATGGCTGCGATTGAACACAAAGTGACCACTTCAGTGATGCAATTCCAGGCTAAAAGCATACGACCCACTAGACATGATGGATTTATTAGTGCATTCAACGAGGCAGGGGTGGAGGGGCAGGTCACGCCCCCGAGAAATGTTGGCAATTTCTTTTATTGAGAGCGCAAGCATTTTAGAACAACACCTCTTCAGGCATGCTTTTATGGAGTAAAAAATTGCATAGACGTATTCAGAAAAATATCCATCTTGCCCCCTGGACTCCAGACCTATATGCACCACTGAAAGGATGATCCTGAAGACTGGTGCTCTGACCCCAAAGGTTTTGCCATTCTTTCTATATATCTGTTTCGTCCACAAAATGATTTCTCCTCTGTAAACACAGGGGACGTGAAACACATGCATTAATGAATGTGAAGCGGTTTTCCGTTATGATATATTCCGTTTTCTGATTAAGCCATATCGTGTACTTTGTATCAAAGCACATTTTAGAGCATAGCAACATTCGTTAATATTTGTTGCAGTGCAGGGAATTAAATCAGTTGACTTTCTGCTTTATAGGCCCACCCTTACATTGATTAGTATTACTTTGACCTTCCAAAATAGCATATCAAATGAAAATCCTGAAGTAAAGATAACGTAAGCCATACTTCACGAGAAGCTCACAAATCGAGAGAAACCAAAACACCCTTTCTTGTTAATTCTCGGTATCTTCCTGCACATTGCGTACGCAAAATGAAACAGACAACGTTTGCTCAGACCAATGGGACACCCCCCCCAATGCCATGATCATGGCATTTGTTTTTGAAGAGCACAGCAGAGATATTGAACAGCAGTGTAATTTTACAGCTGATCCTGGTTTACATTGCGAACAGGTGTATACATGCATGCATCGTGGAACTGTGGGATCATTAGAGATGGCACAACAGGCGTATGCAGCTCTGATAACCAGTAGGTGATATCACCTTTTCGCTGTTATTTTCTTTGACACACTGAGGTGATAAACCTATGTACATGTTTTCGAGAGGTACGTTTCTTGAAATAACCATACACCATAGGCCTAATTGCCCCGTTTCTGTACCATTTCGCATGGTCGCAGTAAACAGCGTAGACATGTACCAAATCCAAAGAATTAATCAATGGAGGAAATGATGGCAACAAACCTTTGTATTCCTTGCAAAACTGGCGCTGATTACAGACTAGGGAGTGGCTTTCCTGTTCTTATCGGCGGTAGCACATTCTGGTATCTTAGCTTGGAAGATATTCTAATGCATTATCTGTGGTTTTACGAGCTTATGCACTAGCGTAAGTTAATGTGCTGCATAAATGCATATGATACGTTACTTCCAGCTGCCCACGGTATAATAAAATACGGCAAGGGCAGGGCAGCCCGCGTTGAGTAAGAGTTCGGTGTGTTGTGGTCAATGCCATCTAGTTCAAGTCGCGCAAGCTGGTGTATACAGTTTGGGCTGGGTTGTATTAGCCATGGATCAAGGCTCTCAAAAACTAGAAAAAGCCAATGTCCAGGTCTGAAACACCCGCTTACGCTTTCCTTGGAGTGGTTTATTCGAGCAGAAAAAAGGGGAGGACTGTGCTCAGTCTACACAAATTAAAAAAAACTAACAAACAAGATACAAAACAAACTGGATACAGCGAGTAAACAGACCAAGCAGACCAGAGTTCAAGCAACACTACGAGCGTGCATACCAAGCAAGCACAGAACGCAGTAAACTGAAAACTTAATCACACAGCCTGAATTCAGGACTACCGTGTCAGTCTGGCGTCTGATTGTAAGACTGAATGAGAAAAATGTGCACAAAATACAGGTAACTTACTGATTACCGCATCGCACATGTTAATAAAGGTGAACTGTCCACAAACGTACTCGTGCATGTTTTCAATTAAAAATCGGAGGTGTAACGTTAAAAATTTGGTCAAAACATGAGCAAAATCGCAATTTAAGAAAGAACGGATACATTAAAGGCCGTGGAATCAAAGGTGAGAAATTACTGAAATGGACATGGTTTAATTTAAAACGGATGAAATGGTGGCTTTCTGTCACACTACCTTTGATTGTGAAATGTTCCTGGTTCCACGGGTAGCGCCCTCTCCCGTTACTGCTATTCGGCCGCGGAGGCCATGCACATGTCGCTCGGCGCAGAGCGATGTACGGAGCCTAAAACAATGCAAATCCAGTCCTGGGCCACGGTACACGTTAGCAAGGTCGTAAAGGATCTTCTGGAAATCTTGCATTGAGATTGTGCGCAATCTGTATGAATAATTCAACAGGTATGTATAACGAATAATAGCGCTAGCGCTTTGTGTGTGTTTCAGTATTAAGCTGCCATGAAGGGTTTACAGGCAGCCGTTGCATGGGGCATACAATGTCCGCTCCGGCGCCACCCTGCAGCTAGCCCAGGCATGCTCTGCATGCTCCTCGCGCACTACCACTACTGGCGGACACATAACTGATCAACACAGCCACTTGGCGACGTTATCACTGACAGTTGATCAGGTTGACTTTTGGGAGCATTACCACATTCGTCTAGTAGATAAATTAAATTGTGGCCAGGCAGAGTTTAATTTTAGCTTTTCAAGGCTATGTTTCTTTCTTGTTGAACTTCTTCCGCTTTGTTCTGACAAAATTTTCACCCAATGAGTGTAATCTCCCGCCCACTGTACGCTGTGGCTGAACCAACCAACACGCAATAAACTAAACCAAAGGATCGATGGGTATATACACGGCAACCAACCTTGTTCCCATGGGTATGATCTTGTAGCGCAATGGTGCTTCCCGCCATACCTTGTGCGATCTTAGCGATGGAACTTGCACGCGGCTCATGGAGTCGAGGTTAACACGGCAACATCGTGCGATCATGTAATACGTAATATCCCGTATTCCACTTCCCGAACAGAACTGTAAGATTCACAAGATGTCCTTTTGGCGCAACTCACAGCCGGTGGGGGGGGAGTGGATTCTGCCCTCCAAAGAACACAGCTGTACCTCGTTTGTTATTATGTTCATTGGAAGTTCAAGGCTATATGTGTGCCATTATGCACTGAGCATCGCAGTGAAAAAAGTATATATTTGTGGCTTACCCATCTCGGAAAATTGCGCCCTGCGCAGAAACTGTCTGTCGGATTCAATTCAATTCAAGAAAACGTTTATTCCATACTCTTAAAAAAACCCATAGATAATTAAGGGAACAAGGTACTTAAAAATTGACAAGACGGATAAGCTTAAGAAAATAATCCAAAAATAAAGAAACTTGGTACATTGAAATTAGCAAAGTGGATATAAATAACTTTTTTTTCAGATATGTATACTTAATGATAAAAGAACATTAGAACTTATGATGAGATAAAGAAAAGTAGTCCATGTACAAATGAGGAAAGAAAAGAGCATGAGGCTGTTGAATAGGCAGATGCTTGCATAAAAAGTCCTTAAGACAGAAGACATAACAAAGACAACACGAACAATTACGAGATAAAAAAACACAGGACGGACAAAAACAAGACATAAAAGACACGGCAATAGCTGACAGAAAAAAGTTACAAAAATTGTAATATTTGGTAACGACTAGATTAGACTAGACTGCAATGCAATGCAATGCAATGCCAGGCCATGCCATGCCATGCCATACCATACACCATACCATACCATACCATACCATACCATACCATACCATACCATACCATACCATACCATACAATACCATACAATACAGAAGGAGACTTTAACCATAAGGACACAATAAAGAAGGAGATATTAACCATAAGTACACAAGAAGATTAAAGCTATGCTATATAATGGGAAAGGAGGGCTCTTTTATAACAGGTTTTAAACTGGCCCACGGACGATTTCGTTCTGATGTCATCGGGAATGGCATTCCATAAACGGAGACCGAAAAAGCGAAGGATGTTAATTGAGTGAACGGTGCGAGTGAAGGGAACAAACATATTGTTACGGGATCCAGTCGAGTAACCGTGGATTTCATTGACCGATGTGAAGTACGAAAAAAACGTATTAGGAAAAGATAATTGATATATTTGAACATAAAGATACCAGTGTATACGTTATTAATGTCGTTTAGGGTGCCTAAACGTGTTAAAAGGGGTGCAGTGTGGTCCCAAGAGTGTGACAAGGTGCATGTACGAATGACCCTTTCTTGAGTGATAAGCAAAGCTTTCAATTTGTTATTCGTTGTGCGTGCCCAAATGATGTTGCAGTAATTTAAATGCTGAAAAATAAGAGAACTGTACAGTAAAACCAAGACGGAGTAGGAATAAAGTAACGTAATTTAGATAAGACACTGGTGTTACGAGAGACAATTTTATTTAATGTCCAAGAGAGGTTTTGATCGATGATTACACTCAAGAATTTGGCAGAAAAGACCCCATTAATAGAGATATTGTCAATAACAAGAGGAGGCAAGTGGATATTCTGAGAACGTGACAACTTGGTGAATGAAATGAAATTAGTTTTACTGTGGTTTACAGAAAGTTTATTGGCTGTAAACCATAAAGAAACCACACGGAGTTCATAACTGAGAGTTTCTACCAGAGAAGCAACGTCGGAGCTGGAGTGAAAGATGGTCGTGTAATCGGCAAAAAGAGTAAAGTTAAGAAGAGATGATGAATCTGCCAAAGGATACACACGCAATGCTGTACATGTATAGTGTGCACTTCAGATCCAGATGGTTAATGCTTCTCTTCTTGTTCATGCATACAGCTTGATGCACAGACACAGACACAGGAACAGGCACAGATTGACTACAATAAAATTAAAATCAAACAGAAATCAAGAGTACGGTACATCCGACGTCTGGGTGATAATAATACATGTATGTGCCCACTTTGAACATGTAAATATACATGCACCCAATGTTTACTTCGACCTCAATTATAACTTGCACTTAGGTGTATCTAAGTGACACCAATACATGTATCTAAGTTCCCCTAAAAGAGTATGATGCCCAATATTTAAGTTAGACAATACAAAACCCCATAACTTTGACTATACCTCCAATATGTAGGCCCCCATGTGTATCTGTATTATTTACCATTTACAATAAAGTATTCCACCGATGTAACAGCATGGCCTAAATGAGTGAGATTCGGCTTATACAAGACTATAAATAACCCAGTAATTACTTAATCAAATTCTTTAATTTAATATGAGAATCCTGAGAATAATGACCTCTAACCGTTTAATAAACTTCGGCAGGATGGGCGAATCAAAATCTGTCAGATGCAAAACGTGATGGAGCCATCTTACTTTCAGTCCCGTTTTTATGGTCCCACTTATAGCGCCCTCAATCGGTTAGAAATTTAAAAAATGAGTTTGGCCGCTACAGATGAGTAATTTTGAAGAACTTTGATGTAAAGCAAGAGAATAAGGAGCCCAAGGATAGATCCTTGATGGGGACATTCATGCTGGGTGTTCAAATGATTAGAATCACATTTCATAATGGAAGTACATTTATATTGGTAAATGTTAGAAAGATAATCAGTAAACCATTGAAGTGGAATACCTCTGATGCCATAGTGGTAGAGTTTGGAAAGAAGAATAGCATGATTGAGAGTGTTAAAAGCTTTAGAAAGATCAATGAAAACACCAATGGCGCATAGTTTATTGCCGAGAGCATGCATAATCTTGTCAACAAACTCAATGAGGGCCATGTCGGTAGAATAGATCTAAAGCCAAACTGGTGATCAAAAAGCATATTGTAACGTGCGCCGTATATGGGTTCTCTCACTCCTGACAAAATCAAGGTAACGCAGGATTTTTTTGGTTTCCAGGGGCGTCTTCCGCCAAACACGAACTGTCCGGTCCTTAGCAATTACGCTGCCCAAAACAACGAAAACAAACCTACTGCGCCGGCGCCGGAGGCTACGGGTCTCCGGGGCCAACCAGCACGGACTCCACTGCACAGCTCCATCGTGGTTCCATGCTGGTGCCCCCTACCGGTCGGTCGGTGCCGACGCTACAATATTATGGTGAGAGATGAAACGAGAGAGTCGATTCTAGACAAGTCGTTCAAACGTTTTAGAAAAACTAGCGAGGATAGAAATTGGCCAGTAGTTGGAAATGACATGCTCATTCCCACTTTTGAAGACAGAGATAATCTCAGCGACTTTGAGATTAAGAGGAACAGAAGCAAACGAATGATTAAAGATACAATTAAGAGGTTCGGCCATAAGAGGCAGGACGGATTTCACCACACTAGAACTGCTGCAGCTACTCTTCAGCTCACGGCCAACCTTATTAATTTCCTGGCTATTTGTAGGAGTAAGGAAAAACGGAAAAGGATTAGGATTGTGCAATGATTCTGTGAAGTGAGTATTAGTAGGGGAAATTTCGCTGGCTAAGGAGGAATCAATGTTGATGAAGAATTTGATGAAAGTATCGGCTACAAGAGGCGGACTTGAAATGGGATTGTCATCATCCATGAATTCGCTCGGAATATTGTTATTCTTCCGGTTGTCGATATTGACATTGATTTCTCGCCAGATACCCTAGAGAATATGTTTTGTACGGTCATGTTTATCGATGAAGTATCTACTGCGATACTTTTTATGTCGCAGCTTATTTGCAGCAGTCGGGTTAAGAAGAATTTCAAAACGTTAAGCTGAGGCATTACTCCAACGTTGAAAGGAAACTCTTTACCGCGATAATCTCCATTTTTACATTATTATCACTAATCACGGTTACATAAAACAATACGGTAAAATGAATATCTGCCAAGTCACCTAGCATTCGTTCATCGTACAAAATAGCTTCCCTCCAGTTCTTCCTGTTTTTGTTTGGCGGTAAATCTCCTAGACGGTCTAATACATCACCCTATGGTGAACTTGTTGGCTCAAGTACATTTGTAAACGTAAATGAGTATGTGTCCTGTAATTCCACATTATCTTAAAAGAACTTCCCTGAATGGGGTAGATTTTTCCCCCACTTCTGAGTAGCTAGTTATCAATTAATCTGGAATTTGAAATAGGACAGTGCTGTGCCAGAAGCCGTTGCCGCGGGTTATACATACCGAAACAGATGCATCAAAAGGCCAGGGAGTCATACCGGAAAGCGTTTAACACAAACCAAAACCGCTGCCAAGTTAATTAATCATGCTGGGAGAAAAACAAAGTCTAATTTTAGTCGGATTTTCACCATGTCAATCCAAGCCAATCTAACTGGACCACGTTAAATAATTTCCAATTTCAAATTCAGATCGGATCTTATCTGGATAGAATTGCAACCTTAAATGTTTCGGAGATTCATTTCCATCTATTTTTGAAAGAAACTTAACCGCGTCAAAACTGAAAATCAAAACAACGTGGTGTTTATGCTGCTGTGATAAAGACGCTTCTGAGATTACTTGCAACATGTTCAGCCTAGGTCCCCTTGGGTTGGATCCTGACTTTAAGTCGTCTCCACACCCCAGAGCATCCAGGCCTCATAGCCGCTTTCTGATGGACGTACCGCCCTCAGGTTCTTTCCAGAACCCAAACACACCAACAAAAGAGTTAGCTCACATGATGCTACCGCAAACCTATTAGTGAACTTATATGACACCACAACATAAAGGAGGGAATCGATAAAATGAGACCAAGAAGTCCCTCAAAGCCGTTTCAACTAACCCTTTGCCCGAACAGGTTAAGAGAAATCTAATGAAGATGCAAGGATGAGACTGTAGAATGCTTATTACTCTTGTATTGTACAGATATTAATACTCAGATGAAAGAAGTCATTGAAGCCAGATCCTGCTACAGCAAACAGTTTTTATATAAAAAGTCTTCACAACCCACCCCAAGTAACAGATTTTTATGTCCATCCTATGTGAGAAAACACATTCCTATCTGACAACTCTTGAAGATAAAATCACATAACACCAGACTTGGTTTAGTTGACTTTGAACTCATTTTGCGCTCTGGTTTAACGTCGAAGAGCTGACCTTTTAATGGTCGGCCATCGGTCATCTGGAACCAGTCTGGTCCACAGCAAGTGAAGCCCCAGTAACAGGACAATGCAGAGACCAGCAGCTGCTCCGAGGAAGTAGAAACAACCACTGTAGCTCTTGGTAGTATCGTAAAGATGACCTGCATTTGGATGGCGGAATGTGAAAGCCGAGAATCATCTTGAAAGGAAAACTACGGCTATGTAAGTAGAGTTCATCTGACAAAATAGGAATAACATTATTAATGTAATTGTCCATTTGTATAACATTTTTTTGAAGTGGCCCTTGACATTTGACCTCAATTTACCGTGCGCCTGTAAATGCAAGAGAACGAAAACGGACAGTTATTTGAGCTCTAGCAGTGTTGGAAACTGATAACAACATAATTTCGAACGAAAAGCTGTATAGAAAAACTGGATAAAATACACTCCGCTCTTACCGCTGATAGAGGCTGCCAGCATGTTGCCACTGGCAACCAACATTAGTGCGATACCAAATCCACCAGCAAACCTTTCTTGTCCAACAATTCGACGCACCATGATCGCTCCTAATGGGATGTAGATGCCGGATGAGAAACCGAACAGCACAGCGTAGACCACGAAGAACGGGTAGCTCTCGAGGATAGCGATACTGATGGCAGAAACGCTGACCACAGCCTCAACGACACCGTAGATGAGAGCTAGTTCGGCAACATTAGCATCCACCAGGGGGCCGTTTATCAAATTGCCGACGATATTGGCCACTCCGACCACGGAGAGCAGTAACTCGGCCTGTAGCCCAAGGACACCGACCGACTCTGCACGAGCAACAAGGAAGGGCAGAGTGACAGAGTTTCCTACCGACGTGGGTATTTGTAGCAAAAGACAACTTGCGAAGACCCGATTGGTCCAAATGAGTGATACACCAGCATGATCCAAGAACTGCACGAGTTTCTCCAGCCACTTCTTGTCCTTGACCAGCTTATCGTCTTTGCACTCAGCACCTACACCAGAGCCCGATCTAGATTGATTTGTGAAGGCGCTTGCTTTACTATCACCGTCAACGTCTTTCTCATCCTTGGCAGAAGCTGTCTCGTGGCTTGATTGGTTTTCAAGCCTGCTGTAACCCTTCCCAACACTGTGGACCAAATTTGTCGATGTTTGACCATTGGGAGTTGGCTTCATGAACTTGGCACACACCAAGATGTTTGCTTGTATCGCACTGATGACCAGCAGAGCTCCCCTCCATCCGTAATTGTCGATCAAGAAGCCGCTAACGATGGGAAAAGTCACTATCCCGACACTTCCTCCTGACCATGCAATTCCCCAAGCCAGAGCGAAATGCTGGTGAAAATAGTCGCTGATTATGGTCATGGTGCTTGCGAAGCACAGGCTACAACCAATCCCTATAGTGCATGGAAAATTAGAGACGGTGGTAGATATTAATCAGAAATAACAATAATCAAGGTTGGTTTTCAATCATAAAGGCTTTGGGCGAGTTTGAACGGAAACTATAGTTTACTCACTAGCAGTGGCGGCGCCAGACCTCGGTGGTTGTGGGCGCAAGTGTGGGGCAAGGCAGAATCGCGTGGGTGCAAATGATCCTTCATTTTTCCTTGGTTGTGATGCGGAGTTCCAAAACTAAAAGGCTGATAGCCCTGTCGTAATGTGAGACAAAATTTTGGTGGGTGCAAACGCGGGTGCAAGCGGCTCTGCAATGGGTGCATTTGTACCCGCATGGCACCACGTAGCGCTGCCATTGCCACTAGTCAACTGCACATAGTCCCAAGACCTCCTTCTTAATCCCATTATTGCTCACTGTATATGTATCAATCGATGCTGCTGTGGTCTCCGTCATATCTTGTACAATCATTGTTTATGTTAGTTATTCTTTGGGTACTTAATTACTGATGCAAGAGATGCACAGATGACTGTCCCTTGAGTGCATGTACTCCCTTCATTTTTCGACGAGATACATTTCATTAAATACTAATACAACTCTTTTTCTGGCCAGACGGCAAGGGTACTTTAGTGTCGGCCCGTACAGCCTCCTTATTTGCCACCGAAGAGGGCTGCTTGTGCACACAGGAAACAATAAATAGCCCAGCCTTGGAGCCCTGTTTCACACTACCTTATAGGCTTAGACTATAAGTCTTTTACCTGTCATGAATGGTATGGTGATGAACAGCACGTAGAATTCCCGACCAAACGATCCGATGACAAGCCCCGTGAACGACAGCAATGCTCCAGCCACGACGACTGGCTGAACACGGAAGTACTTGACCAGTGCTCCAGTGATGGATGCTTAGTAATGGAAAGAAGTCAGAATAAGTAAAACATCTGGCCTGATGAGGACTACATACCCCCAAATTTCTGTCCTTTACAAACGTATTTCCAAAATCTACCCCAAATGTCATACACTTTCCCATTTTAAAATAATCTATAACAAATTCTACAGTTTGGGGTTATACTATGTCGGTATCGTATTTGATTTTGGTATATGTATATATTTGCAGTTACACACCTTGGGTATAAGCGACACAGATTTTGAGGACCTCGGGAACAAAATTCGCGTAGAAATTTTGTTTTGTCTAGTTCATTGCCAAAAGGTTTTGAGTATGGTGAAACACAAGTCAAAACGAAAATAAGCCAAACACAAAACTTCTTTACGTTGATCGATAGTAGAAGAAACTTTCTTGCAACTTACAAAATAATAACAACATCGCAAAGACGGAAGAGGATAACCACCCGACCAAGGCAGAACTCTGTGGAAACTCATGGAACCACTCTATGTAGAAGACACCAAGCGAACTGCCCAGTCCAAACGTCAAACCAACAGTGAGGAAGCTGGCCAGTACCACGGGCCAATGACGAGCTTCAGAGTCCAGTGAGAACATGGCTGGGGCTGAAAACACAGTGATCACCTTAGCAATGCAGTTTTCGGCCAAAAGCATTCGACCCCCTCACAATGGATCGATTGGTGTATTTAGCCCATTTCTTTATTGAAAGCGCCATCATTCTAGAGAAGCACTTCTTTAGGTATCTTTTTAGGGATAACCAAATTAAACAGACATATTTACATGATTTAGAGAACTGTCCATTTGCCCCCGGACTCCAGACCTAAATGTACCACTGGAGGGACGATGGGCCTGAAGACTGGTGCCCTGACCCACAGGTTTTGCCAATCCTTCTCGTTACATCTTTCGTCCACCAATATGATTCCTTGCTAAACACATGCATTAATGTAAAGCAGTCAATCCTTTTCTGTGACTTTTCTTACAAATTGATTTGCTTATTTTAACTACGCTATATTGTATTCTGTATCCAGAGTTAACTAGAGCATACCAAATACTTGTTAATTTGTGTGGTTGGTAGTTGGGGAAGAACGTCATTTGACTTTCTGTGCGTCAGGGCTCACCTTTATATTGAAATTGTATTACAACTGTACCTTGACCTTCTAAAAACAGCATAAATGAAAATCACGAATTAAAAGTAGCACAGGTCACACTGCACGTGAAGCTGACATACCAAGAGGAAGCAAAATATCCAGTCTTTTTTATTCTCGGCATTTATCTGCACATTCCCTAAACCGAAAGAAACAAACTTAAGCATGCCAAGATCAATGACAATTATAATAGACAGTGATCATAGCATTTCATTTTAAGAGCACGATATGCAGGGAAAATGAAGAGCCGTGCAAATTCAATCGACCCTGCCTTCCAAAGGAGACGGTATTGTGTAGGCCTACATGGATTATGGGACATACTGGTAGCAGCCATTAGGAATGACACGACATGATGCAGCCATACCGGTCAGTAATATCATTTTCCCGCTATTGTATCTAACACACTGAAAGAATAGACCTATGTAAATATTTATAGACGTACGTTTGGCACAGACAATAGAGATGCAACCCACTTTTCCTAAGCACATCGGCCTACGTGTCGACAGGTCAAAATAAACAGCACTGGCATGTTTCAAAATCCGAAGAATTAATTGATATGAGGAAATGATGGCAACAAACCTTGTATTCCGCACAAAACTGGCGCTGATTACAGACTCAGGTGTGGATTTTCTTTTCCTATCGTCAATAACACATTTTAACATCTCACCATGGAAGATATTCTAATGCATAATCCGTGGCTTTACGAGCTTATGCACTAAAAGTATAATAATAGTTAATTTTAGTTATGCAATAATAATCTTCGTTATGCACTAACAGTAATAATAATGAGTCGCTGCGCTGTTTAAATACATACAAAACAGTAATTTCAGCGGTCCATGGTATAAACAAATTCAGCAAAGGCAGGACAGCCAACGTTAAGACTTTAGTGTGAGTGTACTTTAGCTATAGCTATAGAAGGCTGCTTTTGATACGGCCGTGTGACATTGTTGTCGAGATAACTGCCAATCATCTTACTCGTTGGGAAAAGTTTCAGTGCTTGGTAAACACGGCCATACAAAAAGCCTTAGAAAATCATTTGGCAAAACCCAAAATCGACGAGGATCTTAAAAATGAGTGCTGAATCTTCCTGTCGAAGCAAGAGCACTTAAAATGACCAAAAGGACATGAGAAAATGTAAATAAAACCTAGTTAATCATAACATTTATTAAAAAGATACGTTTGCATCGCACATTTGAACTCATTTTCCCTTCAAACCATTGTGGCAGAGTTCCACAACGTCGGTCCGACGTTTGCTTATGTCCTGTAATTGAGTTTATTGTACGTTCGAGGAACTTGAAGATTCAAAGTGTCCTGACTACACAAGCCATATGGACAGCACGATCTCACTATCAAGTCATCAGTCAAGTAAGTTGGTGCTTTTTTCTGTAACATCTTGAAAACAAAAGCAAAATCTTAAACTCCACACACGTGCACGAACAGGAAGCCAATGCAATGATTGAGAAATCTTGTCATACTTACACAATCCCAGAACCAACCCAGCAGCATTATTCTGTTAACATTTTCACTTATCAAATGAAGATTGAGACATTTCATACATTACAGAATTTGACATAGTCCAAGGTGAGCTATAATCAGTGAATGGATCAAACAAACGACGGTCACTCCTTGATTCAGGTATTTTCGATTTCGACGCACATGATGTCAACTATAATCCATCTTCTTGAAAACATGATTGATGTGAGTGTTCTTGAATCCAACCGGACCCCCAAACTACAGGCATTATTAACAACACCTTTGTGATCGGCACCAATTTTAACGTGATCAATATTAATTTTATCTAGTTGCCGTTAAGACCCAAATAAAGTGACCTCTGTTCTGCCAGCATTAAGTTTCAACTTGTGTTTCAACATCCATGCTCAAACTGCAACAACGCACTTTCCAATAAGTATGCAATGAATGAATATGACCGCTCAGTTTAGGAGAAATAATTGCAGTAACTAGGTATCATCAGCATAACTATAACCACCATTCATGCATTACGGACGCTTCACAATAGTGCGCCTCCAAGAGTTTGCAGCGCGTTGCCTAATGACAACGCGCGAAATCTTTCGACCCTTTCCAAACGCGCCTGGGTCGACAGATTTCACGCACTGTGATTGGTCAACGCTGTGCCAACAGTTGGAGGCGCACTATTGTGGAACGCCCGTTGATTACCTTGAAAAATGAACGTGACTAAGCCATAAAAAGACAGAGCGACGTGCGGGCGACGGCACGACGCGACGCCTAGTAAGTGTACATACGTAACGGCAAGAACATTATAGAAGGCGACTGTGCGACCCGACGGCACGACGCAAGGGCCGTCGGGGGTGGGGTGGGGATTGGAAATGGGGGATGACTTATCCGGCCATAAAATTTGAAAGGCAGGAGTGGGGGTGGGGGGAACACCATCAGGCCTATGACTTTATACTAAATAGGGGTGGTGTTCAGGCTATTGATATACATTTTAATAAAAACTATGTGTTCAGAATGGCGTAATAATTAAAATTGCCATCCTTTCTTGAGTAATCTTGAATGCACTTTAACCGTTGAAAGTCTGAAAAATTGACAATCTGCTTTAAGTTTTTGCTACCACAAAAACGTGGAGGGAGATGACTCAATAGCCCAACCCCCCTTCAAAAGGTGTTAGGGATATAATACTCCATCCCCGGGATTTACATCCATTTTATCCCGTTATTTTGTGTGAAATAATGCAAACAGCTTAAGGCCTATGTTTGACAAATATCACTCAAAACATCAGCTAGGCCTACCTGCTCAGATAATAACTGATTCTTCCAAATGCATTGCCATTTAATGCCAATATCCATATTTGTTTAAAGATCGCTTTCGTATGGGTGTAACATTGGTAAAATCAGTAACGAAAATTACACTAGAGGTCGTGATCTTCAATTCTTTGTGAAAGAATAAAAATTTGGATACATTAATTTAATTAATCTTGAGAATCAAAATGATTATATTTCCCTCGGATTTGGTCTTTTTTCCAAGCAATTTGGGGGCACCTGACACCAAATCGTTGGATTTCTGTTCACGAGCTCATTAATCAATATCTTGTGATCCCACAGGCTAAGAATGACAGGTTTTTTACAATAAGACAAGCCATAATCAGGAGTGATCATAAAAATATTTGAATAAATCCCGAATTTGGGACTGGTACTTTCCAGTTCGAGGTATTTCTTTAAAAAAAAAAACCAACCTTCGCGGGCCTATATATTTTGGATAGAAGTGGGCCGCATTCAGAGCTGAGCGCATAGTGTTACTACTATTTTGGGGGTATCTTCCGAGAAAGGCGAATAAATAAAAATGGTGGATGCTGCTAATAGGGATGATATTGAAACGAAAAGTGAACTTCTGGTTATAATCTTGAATTTCCAGTGAAAAAACGGAGGCCAACCACGGACGTGTATAATAAAATCTGGACTCGCGATGCCCTTAATCAGCTTGTAGAGTCATTGAATCCACTCGCGGCCATTTTACCAAGCCGAATACAAAGCTTTCCTGGCAATGTCCGCCTTTGTTCTTCCATACGTCAAAAGAAGGCAGCCAACCCATGCTTTTGTATTCGGCTTGGTAAAATGGCCGCTGTTGGCTTCTTTTTCATACAAAGGCGTTGCGAGTCCAGGTTTTTTATATACGTCCGTGAGGCCAACCTCTTCCCGAGAGTCAACAGGCGGCACTATTTTGATATGATTTTGCAGTGTTTTTTATTGATGTATACGTATGTAGTGAGTGCAGCCCTTGATCTGGTGGAGGCGATATTTCGGTTTGTCGCTTGGTGGCGCTTTATCAAAATCGAGACTATCGCGTGAACTTCAAAGCTGGATCGACACAATGATCGACAGAGTTGAAAGTGACTGACATCTTTCTGATGTTCAATTCTCATGACTTTAACCCGATTCAGTAATACTAAATGAGGTTGAGCCCGCGTGAACACAGATGTCAAGACTTTCTTTGTGCATTAATGCCCTTCTTTGTGGATGCCACTTCACTTTTGTGGTACGCCACACAGTGCAGTCAGTGGTAGTTAGCAACGGTAAGCAGCATATGCATGCAGCAAGGTATGAGACGGAGAGAACCCCCCCCCGCTTTGTGTTGGTCATTGTCTCGTAGGAATCTGGGGAATTCCTTTCAGACATCTTGGGGGATGTGTTAAGTAACAATAGTTTGGAATGTGTATAGGGATTGAACATGTTGGGGGGGTACCCCTCGGTCTCATTTCTTGCTGGGTATAGTAAGCAGGCACTTACTTGGCAGTAGCCGGGTGGCATCACGGACGTGTATAATAAAATCTGGACTCGCGATGCCCTTAATCAGCTTGTAGAGTCATTGAATCCACTCGCGGCCATTTTACCAAGCCGAATACAAAGCTTTCCTGGCAATGTCCGCCTTTGTTCTTCCAGACGTCAAAAGAAGGGAGCCAACCCATGCTTTTGTATTCGGCTCAGTAAAATGGCCGCTGTTCGGCTTCTTTTTCATACAAAGGCGTTGCGAGTCCAGGTTTTTTTATGTACGTCCGTGGGTGGCATACTACATAGGCTTAGTAGGCCTACATCATATGCTTAGTTCCCTGTCACAAATCAGTTTTCAGAATACACGTGTCGTGTGTTGGCCTAGAGTTTTTTCACATGAAAAAAATTTATCTCTAGCAGCGTACATGTAGTTGTTCGCTGCCATCTGCTTAATTCTCTCAGGGGTTGGAGTGTACCATTTATGATATAGCCTGGCATGTTAGGTGTAGGCGTAAAATGTTTTGATTTTTTTATCCGTGGGGTAAGGGCCATTGAAGTCACATTCACAGCCCAGAAGTTTAATCAAGATGGCTGTAGGCCTAAATTAAAGTACTTTTTTAAGTGTAAAATCAATATAAAAGCTGCATTTTGCAAGAAGAACTGATTTTTTTTCAAACACAGGCATCAAAGTTATTCTAAAGAAATAAAGCAAAGTGCTTTTGGGGAAAGGGCGTGGCCATGTACATGGGAGACTATTCTTCATTTGACGATAGGATCCGTGATGTGGAAAGACTGCCCACTGCTGCCACCCCTCTGGTGTAATGGTACGGCCCAACTGCCCCAGAGGCAACATGGCCGCTGATTCCTGAGCTGGTTCGTGGAGGGCGATGTCGACAAAATTAAAACTGCAATTTTCCCAGACTCTAACCATTTGAGATTTAGCTAAACAGCAAACACTTTAAGGTCAAGTACCAATTCTTTTGTTTTTTAACGTGTTTTGGAGGTGTGGTTGGAGGTTGACGGTGTGTTGACAGTCCGTTGGGTGTTGATTGTAATTAGTATGACCCTAAGCCCTAGACCTGTCGTGCCTGTGAACAGGGCCTGATGTACCGATATGTGCACACTGTACATTGTGTATATCCTTCGTCATATACTGGGCTCTGTCCCGACTGATAGTGATTTCTTTCGATCCAGTTTATCTGGGATGTCTGGGGATTATCAGACATCTGCTGGATTTTACGAGCTGAAATTACACCCGGCATGTCAGGAGTATGTTCACTACTTACACCATGACATGCACTTAGGCCGAATTACAGTGACTTGGGCTGCTAATTATCCCCAGGTTGCTATTTGCAAAAAATTCACCTTTTTTGGAGAAAAAATGTTGCCTTCAGTAAGTTCAGTTGGCATTTTCCTCATTCCGAACAAATTTTGCCCAACTTGCATGTTACACAGACTGCGTTGTACACGTTGATGTGCGGGGCTTTATACATGTAGTCATTTTGTTTAATTTCCACTCCACCCCGAACCACATCACCCTGGCACCAGCTCTCCCAAATGTCAACTGTGGTATTGTTTGTTTTCATTTTAAAGGGGAGCTGCGATCAGGTAGTATAAAGACAAATGTTCAAATGCACCTTTGTACTTTCAGTTACATGTAACCTTATTTTCAACTCTTGTTTCTCTCATTTCAAAGGGTATTTAACTGCCCTTTTCATTTTTATGCTAAAATATTTCCATATTCATGAGCAAAACTGTGATTTCATCACAGGAAGGAAGTAAGGGTGGAAATTTACAGGTATGCTTAATTTGAAAACAGGTTTAGACAACGAATATTCAAATATTATTTTCCAACTTTGAATATTCAAATGCAAAATTCATGAAAAGAAAGGGAAAATTTTGTTTTGTTTTAAATGACAAAAAGTTAACTTAGGAGCCTTTTTTAAACATGTTCAATCAGATTCAAATGAGAAAGTGACAGAAATCTTAAGATTCAAAAAGTAAAATATTGATTATAAAATTTAAAAGGAATAGAAACTTTCAGCAGGGCACAAAGTATTGTTCGTCTCTTTAATCTTGCTAAATCGTGGCTATAATAGGGGTCATAATGTACAATTTTGTGCATTATTGCAACCGATTTTGTATAATGTTTGTTCATCAACAATATGCCGGTCGGTACGACCGAATATTTGGATATTCTATCAAATAAAAGGTTGATTATTCAAATAGTGAATTATTCGAATTGACTCAGCCCTACAAGGGGGCCCAAGTATACATGTACTGCTTCATGTATCAATATATTGAGTATTGAGGCAATTCCAGTGCTGCAGTCCCATTTATGGGCCTACGCTACCCTACATACAGTTACCTGTAGTCTGAGTCTTCATAAACTTGGACTCTACAAATTGCCTTTTTTTTTTAACATTTTTGACAGTCGGGCAATACTAGAGCCCAGGTTCTGTTCATAGGCTTTACTGTCCATTAATTGATCTCTCTCAAAATAGCTTGTACGTTGTCGTACCCTGAATCAATATCCTCAAAATTTTCTCCAAATGGTCTTGAAACTGTCTAATAGGGCTCTCTTAGGATTCATCAGGAATTGGAGATCAATGATGATGGTAAGGTATACTTTAACATACATGTGTGCATGTACGTGTATGGGAAGGAAAAGGAAATTATCCATTAAGGTCGGACACGCTCTTGGCGGCCAAGCGATTCAGACTGTATGCTAATATACCTGGGGACGACGTCATGATGCACCAGTGATCCATTGCTCTGAAGAATTTTTTTTCAAGGAAAGAAGTCTGAAATCACATCAGATCTGAATGCCATCGTTTGAACGCAGCCTCACAGTGACAATTGATGTACTCACAGTGACAACTGACATACTCACAGTGACAACTGATGTACTCACAGTGACAATTGATGTACTCACAGTGACATTCGATGTACTCACAGTGACAATTGATGTACTCACAGTGACATTTGATGTACTCACAGTGACAATTGATGTACTCACAGTGACATTTGATGTACTCACAGTGACAATTGATGTACTCACAGTGAAAATTGATGTGCTCACAGTGACAACTGACATACTCACAGTGACAATTGATGTACTCACAGTGAAAATTGATGTGCTCACAGTGACAACTGACATACAGTGACAACTGATGTACTCACAGTGACAATTGATGTACTCACAGTGACAATTGACGTACTCACAGTGACAATTGATGTACTCACAGTGACAATTGATGTACTCACAGTGACAATTGATGTAAACAAAGAACCAGAAGAAAATTTACTGTAAACAATTTGGAAGTCTTGAAACCCTCACATCACATATTTGTTTAGTTTCCATGCTGGCAAACATTCACCAAGCCCATCATCATGGGTCATCATGGTCCAACATCCCCTGCCTATTCTCATGTACATGTACATGTATCGTACAGTCTGTGTTCAAAGCTGTAGTCATGCTTCATACATCTGTACTGTAAGATGCTGCTTAATGTAGTTACGCGCAAATATCAGTGAATATCATACGTGTGTAGGACATGTGCATGGGCTAATTATAATATTTAAACAAGTGTACTTTGGCATTTTAGACATACCGGAAGCTAAAGCTTACCTTTCCGGACCACATGGCGGACCCTGACACCTCATTGCGAGACCTCGCCGTGCAGAAGGAGCGTGAGTGGCGGGAGGTTCAGGAGCTGCGGGTCCAGGCCCTGGAGGAGGCAGTGAGGGAGAAGGACCAAAAGCTGGCGGACAGCCAAGCGCGGTTCCAGATGCTAAAGGACGACTTCAAGTACAACCTGCGGCTACTGGCGGAGCGAGACCAGGAGCTGGAGCACTACGATACCGTCTTTTCAGAACTGAAGGCCGCGTACCAAGCCAAGAATGCTGAGGTGCCTGTCTTTGTCCTTTTCATCAAACCCGGTGTTAACCGTTGTTCCATCGAGCATTATTACAGGTCCACATGTGTTTCTCTCAACTTGTTTTTTAGATCTACCCCACAGGCCATAAAAGTAGCCCCGCCACCATATTGCTTGCATTTCAGGCCTGAATTATTTTAATACACTTTGACTCACTATTCACTGTGACTAACATGGACGACAGCTCTTGCTTTATGACCATTTGCTGAGAAAAACCATCAGCTTTGTATTGCTGTCCTTGTGGGCAAAGTATTGCCCTTAAATTCCCCAAATAAACTTGTCGTGAGGAGATCGAGCACGGGACAGCAAGGTTTTTAGGGGGAATCTTGAGGCCCCCCCTCCCATTTTAGCTCTAAAACTGCTAGATAATGCAGAATGTTTCAAAAGAATGTTGAAGCTGGATCTCAATCACTGCTTTCTAGTTTACATGCGCTAGTACATTTACATCACAAATTCACTATTCCCCTCCCATTAAGAAACCATAATTTATAACCAAGTGAACCAGTGATTTAGTAATTCACATGCAGTCAAACATGTCATTCAATACACACAAACTGCTGACAGTAATGCAACGAGAAAGGCCCTACGTGCTGGTTCCCATTTTGTCGAAATTGAGATGAGCTAACGATGACAACTGATAGATTTTTAAGGGACATGGTACGTGTACTTGTCAAGTCTGGAGGCCACATCTGCATTTTTTTTGCAACTATCAGAGTTACGAGTGCCATGAGGGTTTATCCCAAAGCTGAAAAAGACAGCAGTTTTGCAACTCGTCGTGAGAAACTGTGTGGATGGTCGATGTAATCTTTACAGAACTTTCATTCAGCAGCAGATCCAAGGGGGCCTGCGCACCCACCTTGCACCCCCCCCATTTAATTTTATTTTTACGTAAGGTTTTTTCCTTTTTGTGTATTTTTTTTCCCTCAACTGATTAGTGTAATAAGTGTAAATCATTTATACACGGAAATTCTCACTAAAAAAAAATTCTCACTAAAAAAAAAAAACACTATGCTTGAGTTCACCTTCATATTTAGCACCCCCTTTTGTAAATGAGAGGCACCCCACGCATGCTAGATGTGCCACTGTAATTGGTGCATTTGTATTGACTGTCGGTGTTATCATTCCTTCAAAGGTGAGTGAGCTGAAAATCTGCATTGACGAACTGCGGAAGACGGCTGGGCGGGAGGCACAAGCTAAAGACGACCTGCAAAGGCATTACCAGAAGAGGATACAAGACAGACAGCAGGAGGTGGAGAAGTACAAGCTGTGAGTTGAAGACGAGCAGCAAAGCACCGAGTCTTTCTTGCCCAGTTGTGGGCCGCTGCCTGGACTGTTATGTTGATTTCTGAACATTTATTGGGCACAAAATACCACCCATAGATGGCACTCACACAAAATAATTAAATTTCAGCCTAATTCGTATAGATTTTTAAGACTAGCTGTTTCTTGCCAGCCACTGGTTTTCTGTAACTGATCAGCTATTTCCTCCACTTTTTTCCTGATTAACCTGTAAATGAAATGTTTAAGTAGAGATGTTTTAACCGATCAGCTACAGAAAAGAAATGGTATCTACAAATAGGTAAAATCTTACATGTCATGAAACACTTACATGCCAAGTGTGTGTAATCTTTTATCTACATCTTTATTACCGTCAGAGAAAGATCATGGGCTTTGCGTCATTTATCTGAAGATGCACATTTTGATATTCATAATCGGTGAGAAACAGTTTGCATGTCCTTAAGAACTGGTGGGGGCTTTCATCTCCTCTCATACCCAGAGTCAAGGATGCAGAGCTAGAGGCCGAGCGCGGTAACCTTAGCAACCTCAAGCGCAACCTCCAGCGACAGCTGCGCGAGGTCAAGGAGGAGCTGGACATCCAGCGGCAGGAGCTGTCAGCGGGATTCGACGAGGCGATGCGCCGGCGGGAGAATGAGTACCGGGCGCAGCTGGACGACATGAATGCCACTGTGCTGGCCCATGAGATGAAGGTGGAACCTGGTGCTCACTAGAAGCAATTCATAATCCACTGTATATTAGCCGTGACCATCCTACGTGTAAAATGTATATGCTCCTGATTCCCAAAACTACATGTAATTGGGTTTATGATTTTGGAATGTACAAAAATTGACTACTTACTATTTTTTACACTGACATAAACTGTGAGGTCTGCATGTGAGATTTACAGACAAAGCAGGATTAATTCAGTATCAGGCTGATAATCAGACTGATGTCATATCTAACTGTATAATTACATCCCCCCTATGTGTGTGACTGCAGTAATGGTAAATAATCATATCTGAAGTGTGGTGAAACAAATATAACATGGCTCATTTTAGGTGGATAATCGATATTAGCTCTCCTTGATATTGAAAGTTCATAAACTAGTTCCCTTAACTTTGCCTCGGGAACTAGCCCGTCAAGTTCCAACACCACAGAGAGCCTAAACCAATTATCCACCCTTTATCCATGCTTGATTCATATACTGTCATGCACAGGTGAAACTACTGAGCAAGGAGTTAGAGCTGGTCCGGACAGCCAACGAGAGGGCTTCATCTCAACTCGGCGATGCTGACTCTGCCGTCCATGAGCTTCAGAAGCAGCTGAAGCAGAGAGAGTGGGAGCTGCATGACCAGGTCAGCCTGAAGGATGCCAGGTACCTCAAGCTGTAGTGAACAGCTAGTGACCCTCTAAAGGCCAGTTTGTACCTTAAGCAAATGTGAACCAGTTTGATGTCACGAAAGTTTTTCAGCAAAATTTTGCTTGAGTTGAAATGTGTACAACTTTTGCGAGTTTGCAGCACGAGTATTTGACTGATATCAGAAATTCACATTTGTGTTCGCTTTCCTCTTGGTGGGGACGACCATGTACACATACATGTACAGGTGGAGACATACTTGTGTTGTGCATCTAGTCTTTTCTTTGCCCCTAGTCAAGAAAACGCGACGGAAATTCTAAACTTTTTCATGCCCTGGGAACACTTTTAACCTTGTCTTTGTTTATGATTTCCTTGACTGTTTCTCTTCCTTTTGCTACCAAAACACTGACCCCAGAATGTCTCTAAAAATTTTTCTGAAAGGGGTATAACCTTGTGTGGACCTTGATTGGTCCACGAATTACGTGTATGTGGACCTCATTTTCTTTGTGAGTCCACACTTAATCTATGGGCGGTTGGCTCATGCACACTTGTAATGTTTTCGTTCTCAAGTCATTTTTTTATTGGAGCACTCAATTTCTTACTGCTTTGACTTTGGCTTTCTTCCGCACTGCCCTCTTTTTTTCTCACAGAATTGCAGAGTTAGAGAGCCAGAAGGAGATGATGGAACAGTCTGTGAACAGAGCCATGGAGGATTTCAACAGAAAGTATGTCAAAGTCACTCCCATGTTGTATGAACACCGTCTGTTAGCCAATATTGTTGTTAAGTCCTCATGTGTGCAAACAGCGATCACAAGTCAGCCCCCCCATCACATCACATCACATCACATCACAAGATGTGCAGTTTGATACTGGCAAGGCATTCCTGTGCTCTTCAATATTGTCATCCTCTTTTCCTTGAGACCAGATTTCAGGTGGTGATTTACCTCATTGACTTCTAATATTAAGCCCGTGTCTGCAGTTGCCGTGTTCTTGTGGATTTTTTTGAAGCAGGGAAGATCCTTTACAGTTTTTCATAAGTGAAGTAATATTTTACATATGGTAGGGGAAGTTGTAGGGGAATGTTTCAAATTAAAAATTATTTAGTAACGCAACATTTCTTTCCTTATCATTTGTAAATCTAAAATTTTGGACTTCCACCCTCAAAGCAGTGTTGATTCTAAACATAAAAATTTCACCCCCTTTGAAAAATGACATACAGCAAGGCAAATACCAAACTAATAGCATTCCACATGTAGGCATAGACATTTCTTGTGTAGTCATCAGTGAATGGACAGGTCAAACATTGTTCTAAACATGAAGACATTGTCTGCGATGTTTTATATATTTACCAGACATGCAGAGCTGGACAAGTACAATAGGGAGAAACAAGCAACTGTCTTGAAACTGAAAGACAGTCACAATGAAGCTGAACGTCAGCTCCAGGATAAGATCCGAGAGTTAAATGCCAAGATGGAGGCATCGGAGGCAGAGAGGAGGAGAGAGGAATGGTCTTACCAAGATGCCATCAAGGAGAAAGATCTCTTAGTTGACAAGTGAGGAGATGGTTATTAAATAATTGATGTTTACAGTGCAGTGGCAAGAATGATTTCATGACATGTCGGATGGCATATTCTATTCTGTAATGAATATGAATTAATATTCTATATATGAATAATTTCATGAGATGACAGATGGCACATTATATATATATGAATATGAGTTAATAATCTATATATGGATAATTTCATGAGATGACAGATGGCATATTCTATGAGTTAATATTCTATGTATGAATAATTTCATGAGATGACAGATTGCACATTCTATATATATGAATATGAGTTAATCTATATACGAATAATTTCATGAGATGACAGATGGCATATTCTATGAGTTACTATTCTATATATGAATAATTTCATGAGATGACAGATGGCATATTCTATTCCATCTCTTTTTTGCCCTGTGGCATAGCAAATTCAATCTATTGCAGAGTGAAACTATTCTTTCCTTTGCATGAATACCAACATTCATTATTTGTTCTTTCTAATACCTGATACCTGTTTGAATCCTCGTCTCCCTGAAGAAGGAACTGAGTGTTTATGTGTATGTGGGAAGTAGAAACGTTCTTTGTTTATTAAAGTGTGAAGAATGGTGGCTGTCTATACTGTGCGCACTTGCAGAACAATAATGGGGTGTATTAAATTGTTTATGTCATGTGATTGATAACCTACCAATCAGAGGATGGGCATTGATTGGCTGAGTTGTTGTATAAATAACAATATAGGGGATAGCCGTGATGAGGCTCACTAGGCTGAAGACGTGCAAGGCTCCTCAGGCAGGTGTCTATACCTGACCACCGAGTGCGGCCAGTGATCAAAAGTGTTGCTGTTTGCAGAGGAGAAATATTTGAAAACTTGTAGAAAAAGCCTTGTGGTGCAGGAGAGAGCCAACAAACAATATTTCTCACTCATAGCTGGGGCCAGGAGTCGAACCTGAAGCTACATTAGTGTGAGGTTGATGTTTGAATCACCATTAAACCTCTAATGTCACCAGGCAGAGTTACTACTCCTTAAACCACTTCATGGCAAGGTGCCCGGAACCGGAGACGTTGGCTTTATACGTAAAGCCAGGGTACCTGAAATCGGACAAAAAGAATTTGGCCTTGTAATAAAAGACCTTACTCAGAACAAAAGACAGGGCTGCTTTGAATTGGCAACATTTTTTCATTTATCATTAGCGGAGGAAATCCGTCATTGTTTTGAATGATTATACCACTGCTTGTGGCATTCAGTGCAAGAGGATTACCACCGGGGACAAAAGCACTCGAGGGATGAGTGATACAATGGCGCTCCACACTAATCTGGTCTGCATTTGAAAAGATGCCAGTAGTGCACTGGACCAGTTTCGGGAACAAAAGAAAATTATGTAACACTGCACAATCTGGGCTCTCTTTACGAGGTGGCCGGCCTGGCTGAAATACTCCGGCGTCAATAGATGTTGTCTGTCAGATTAGAGTAGCCACCAGACAGTCATTTTGTAAATGTCCAGTAAATGAATTTATGAATTTTGAAAATGGAAAATCTTGAAAATGCTCCGGAATATGTCACGCAACTTCAAATTAAACCCAGCAGCATATGGTTAAACAAGTTTTTACCCCACTTTAAACGTATGCCTCGAAGCATTTTCTTTTAGTGGAGTTGAATTTTAAACCATTCAGAAAAATGAACAGAAAACGTCCAATTTGTTATTTTGATTTGAACTTTCTCGTCAGGCTGCAGCGTGAGGTCCAAGATGTCAGGAGTCATTCAGACACCCAGTTGGCCAATGCGTCCAGAGATACAGTCAACAAGGACCTGGTCATCACCGGACTGAGAGAGACTCAGGGCAAACTCTCAGCAGAACTGGAGCAGAGGAAGCAAGATGCAGAAAGGTGAATGCTCCATGGTGCAGTGATGTAGCACTCCTTTGGTACTTCTTATCAAGCTTCTACCAGCCTTTTGGCCAAACACATTGTGTGTCAGGCTAACCTACAAAAGACACAGAATCGATATCATTGTATGTCAAAAATTTAACGAAAAACAATCTGGTGCCAAACCAAAGTCTGTTTTTGTAAGGTCAATTTGTGTTTATTTCATTTTTTAAGCGGGTTGGTATTTAATCGAAAAGGGGCTTGTTCTCGTGTGTTTGTTCCCACATCCATCTGCTTTTCCTTTAAAAATTCGGACATTCATTGACTTTTCAACTAGTGACCGTGCAATACTGTTTTTACCACACCTCGATGTCTCGTTCTGAGTGCAGAAAGTCAGTCTTTAATATTGTGCTGGATGGTGCTGGATACCGAAAGAATTTTGGTGAAAAGCACCGATACCTTTTAGCTTGAGGTCGTTGGTTTCTTGGTATCTCAGATACAAGAAGCAGCTGTCCTTAGCTGCTGAGAGGGAAGCCAACTTGGAGAGGTCCCGGACCCAGGCTGAGCTGGACTGGCAAAGACGATGTGAGGAACTTGAGAGACAACAGTACAGCAAGTCGGAGGAGCTGATCCAGAGATTGACCACAGCAAGAGATGAGGTAGAGAATTGAAAATGTTATTCATTTAGGAAATGCAGATATCCTACAGTTGTGGTCAAATGTGTTGTACGCTACAGAGACAGTAACCTACGACTTGATCAAGCCAAAGACACTTTGCCGAGGGAGGAAAACTTTAGAACTTGGAGAAAAAACTCTCATGACACAGAAAAGAAGCAACAAACAACTCTCGCATATAATGTGGACCAGGAATCAAACCCGAAACCACAGTGGTGGGAGACGAGTGCTTTAACAGACTGGCCATCCGTGCTGCCCGACCCATCCCACTTCTGTCCAGCTCCACCACAATCCCCACCCCGAGGTAGCAAGCCAGGTGGTGTAGCCCACCCCTTCCCTCATATCCTCCTTGAGCAGAAGCACCCCCTCATTGGTTGAAAAAGAGCCATGTTGGTGGGGAAAATTAGTTTTGTTGGTAGTAATGCAACTGCAACGCATCCATTTCATAGTCATTCGTGAACCAGCAAAATGCAGATCCCACCTAAGGAGCCTCTGTTGCATGGAAATTGCGCCCTCTCTTGGTCCCGCTCGGGTTGGATGAAGACAGGAGCAATGTGCCATTTACACATATTTCTAAGAGTTAACTGTAATGGAGCATGACACTATTTCATGATAGCAATGACACCAAGAGTGCCTGGTGATCTCAAGGTCGACAAAGACGCTTTGATTTCTCTCGCTCCCTCTCACTGCAGGCCCTGGCCACAGTGAAGGAGAAGGATCGCGAGATCTCTCAGAGGGAAGATTACATCCGGGTCCTCACAGCCGACAGAGACCACGCCTTTGCAACTCTCCGGAAACACAAGCTACAGATTAACAGGGACTTATTACCGGTGAGTTGAAAGGGGACGAGGGATTGAAAAAGTATAGCAACTGCATGATGATTCGTCCTTACTGCCAAAGGAGAATGGATTGAACCGTCCCGTGTACAATTTCATTTATATAATTGTGGCTTCTGTTTATTGTAAATGTTTTTGGCTTCTTGCAGAATAAAGAGGATTTAGATGATCGGTCGGACTTTGCATCCGAACAGCTCAGAACACTACAGGAGCAGAACGACATGCTACGGGCCGTCATCCATGAGATGAGAGAAGACATGGAGCGGCTTGGGGAGACCCAGCCAGCAGCCAATCAGAGTCCAGATTCCATTGCAGCAGGGGATGGTGGGAAGAACAATCCACCAATCACCGAAGGTCTTGCAAAGAGTGAAATCCATTTTTTTCCTGTTGGTTTCCTTGCGATTGTGTTGTCTGCTTGATTTTAATAGTGCTTCAAACGGTTTCAGTGTGAAGCATGTTTTTAATAATGCCAAATTCCATTTGGTTTGGACCTGAAAATGTTTCTTTTAGTCGAGATCCAACCGATGGCTCATTCTTTTAAATCACATAATTTTCCTTAAGTTTCACTATTGGAATTACTTTAGATGAATAAGTTATGATGTAGACCATGTCTCTGACTGATTTGAATTTTTTCTCGCTAAAGATTACGTGAAGATTTTGGAGAAGGAAAGCCGAGACCTGAAGCTGAAACTGAGGGAACTGGAAGAGAAATACGAAGCCCAACGGGAAGCAAGCCGAGGGAATGAGACAAACAGGCACATTGTAGATCAGAAGAGCGATGTCGCCATGGATAACTCGTACATCAGGAGTCACGTCCAAACCCTCAATGACACCATCGGTGCACTGCGCTCAGAGAAGGTCACCCTGTCGGCCCAGGTGAAGAGGCAGCAGGCGCGGATCACTCACCTGGAGAGCAACATGAACCAGCTTCAGAAGCAGGTGAGGTTCTGTTTGTTTGTCTTTTAGTTTGTACAAAGTTCACCAATTTGTGACTTCGATCCCACACTTACTATTCCCCCCATCGTAATTGCTCAAAATCTACTCGGAGACCACTGAATTCGGCAGGATTGAGGAGGATTGGCTTGGCTCTAGCTTGATTTTGGAGGATCCAGCAAGATTCCCTCTGAAAAGGTTTAGAGCATTAGGATTGTTGCTGCTGTTGTGGACAAAGCTTTGGAGTGTTTTGTAAAATCTGGGGCCAAGTATGTGACGCCTCTATGTAAAGATGTTCAAAATGTTTTGAGCAAGTAGAAAAGATTATCGAAATATTGTCACCCACACTGAACCTGTGCGTGGTTCTTGACTTAGCTCTTTCTGACAAATTGTTGCAGTTATTTATGGAAGTCCACCAATTGGCCGAGATTGATGTCACATCCAAAATGGTTTCTGTTATGCCCTACGGTGAACAAGGGCATTACTTGGAATAGTCCATGTATGTTTGCTCTGTTAAAGGAACAGTCCATCGTTTTTCATTTGTTTGTTATGTTCCTTTGAGACATCAAAATCACTCAATATTTAAAGAAGGGTGCCTGAGAAAAAACCTGATAACGTTTCTGCTTGGTAAATAGTTTACATTCCAAGACAAACGATATTGTAGGATTTTGATTTCAGATCAGAAGTTGTTGAGTCATGTGTGGAATTGCACCTGAATTCAGAATCTGGGACGCATTCTCACTTTAAGTTGAATGCAGTATGCGATGTCACCTACAGTATGTCATGTCAACGCTTGCGCACAGGCTTTTGATGGCAATTTTTCCAACATGCATTTTTATTGGCGCATTATTGGAAATATCCTTCTTGCACTGTTTTCTTCAAAGTGACAGCTTACCTGAAAGAATAGTTTCACAGAGAGTTTAGTCCTTTTACTGTATAATAAGCACGCATGCTTTCTACAATAATTTAGTCACTTTAATACTTTTTGGCTAACTAGAAATGGGGGACTGTACCTTTGAACGTCAGAAATTTTCAATACTTTTTAATGACACAGCCCTATGAGAAGCAGACTGAGATTGAAGAGCTCCAGTACGAGCTGACCACTGCTGCTCGGCGGCATGCCAGCGAAACTGCCTCCCTCAGGAAGAGGGTCGCTGAGCTGGAGCTGCAGCTGGCTGAAACGAGGAGAGAAGCTGACGAGTACTACAAGGGAGGGCTGCAGACAAACCTGGAGGCTACGGCGTTGGGCAATCAGGTGACAAATCTTGATTGTAGGTTCTTGACTGTTGTGGAGTGTTGGGGAATATACTGAAATTATCCCATGCTTGCTCACTTGGGCACAGTAGGAAGCATCTGGTGTGTACGGAATTTTCAACTGAATATGCATAAATGGGGAATATAGAGTCCGTTCAAAGGCGTCAAAGTATCACGTGGCTACACACCTCCCACGAGATCAGCCATGATTGCATAAGGCAAGTGTTTGGTTTCAACCATATGCTGTACATTGTTAACCACTCCCGCTGGGTGGAATTTGAATATATGCGGGACGAGTTCCCAGGCGATTTTCAAGATTTTCCGTTTTCAAAATCTTCAAGAATTCATAACTTCATTTACTGGACGTTTAAACACACATGATTAACTGTCTGGTGGCTACTGTAATCTGCCGCCCAGTAAAGAGAGCCCAGATTGTGCGGTGTTGCGTGATTTCCTTTGCTCCCGAAATTGGCCAAGTGTGTTGCTGAATGGCACTGGTGTCTTTTCAAATGGGGCTGGATTAGCATGCAGTGGTACTGTATCGCTCATCGCTGGAGTACTGGAGCATTTTTGTCTGTGCTGATATGCCGCAAATAGTGGTATACTGTTTCAAAGCAATGACTGATTACCTCCACTAATGCAAGCTGAAAAAATGATGGTAATTACCAGCAGCGGGTCTTTTGTTCTGAGTATGGTCTTTTTAAAGGCCCAGCGCCTTTGTCTGATTTCGGGCAGTCCGGCTCTGCGTATAAACTCAAGGAGTCTGGAACCGGAAACCCTGGCGTCAAGTGGTTAACCAGACAGTTTCACCATGACTTGTTTGTTAGACGGCAAAATAGTCACAATCGATGCCATGCACGCATACCTACGGTGGTTATTGTTGTGGTGGTCTAGCATTTTTCTCGTTTTTCTCATACTTTTATGCCCTTTATAAAACTGTGAAGGCGTGCCTACGACCTGCATGCTCTGCACGGCACTGTAGTCTTAGCCTGCAACAAGGCTAGATGTATAGTTCGATCACACGGGTCAGTGAAGAACGCCTGTTTCATGCGTCATTCTGTCCTACGAATAGGCAGCAGATGGAAGTGGTGTTCATCTTCTGTCAGTAACAGCGTTTCTCAGTTGTACTGCTGAGTATGGATGCCCTGATGCGGCTCTTATATGATTTTATGCATGTCACCATACATAGATCGTAATATCGTGACATGTTTCAAGAACTAAGATTACATGTAGGACAGTCACTGCAGCTATATGGCTTGTGTGCATGTACCTGTATTGTATTTATTTGTAAGTTGTCCACATGTTGCACCTGTCCTTTTAGTCATATTTTTCCAATGTTTATATCTCTGTGTGACTACAACCGCTTTAAACCATTCTCAAGTTTATTGTTAACAGGTGCAATTTTCTGACTACATGTAGTTTTTGTTCAAAATCGCCAAGCACAAACCTTTGAAACAGAATCACGAGAGCAGATGAGTGACTTCTGTTCTGTTCTCAGGTTTCAGCCCTCAAGATGGATTTAATATCCCAAAAGCCTGTCATCACCGGTACTCAGGTAAGGCATGGTTCTCTGCCTGCCTCCCTACAGACAAATCACTGGTTGTAGATTGAGACAGTCAGTTCGACTGAAGATACAGTACATGTGACACCGAAATTGGGCAAGATTTGCTGATCCAGTGTGTGTCAAACTGTTGAGGAACAGAGAATGATTTTCATCAGAGCAAGAGATATTAACCAGTTAAACACAGACGGACTGAAATAATTTTCCTCAGTGATCTGTAAATGAAGCTCATGTCAGGGAAGTTGATTCTTGGGAAGCACTTGGCAATTGATTTTACCCTTTCACTCACTTCGTAATTCTTGGGCAACGGAAATGGGGTTGTAGGGTATACATGCACATTTTACACAACGCCCTGTGCAAGTGCGGATGATCATTGCCATGCAAGGCTGCTCTCTGCATTGTAATGCACAAGAGGGTGTGCTCAAGTTTAAAGCAATTTGGCTTTAGAGGACAGAATCAAGGAACTTCAGAGCATGGCTCTCGGAAAAGGACGTAAGTGTTTTTGGCCAGTGCTGCATGCTCTTTGCGAAAAGGAGTTCAAATTGATGTCACGGTGTGGACTTCAATCTTTCAACTGTTTAACGAGAATCGGAATAACATTATTTTGGCAGCCCGCACTCGTGCATCAACTTCAAGATGAGATACATTCTCTGAAGAAGCAACTGGCAGCCAAAAGCCAAGGAGAGAGTGAGTTGGTGGTAAGTGTTGATTAGGTAGCATTGTCAGATGACATGTGTTGCTAACAGATTTACCTCACTGTGTCCCTGAGCAGCCACGAAGGAAGGGCCTTGAGAAATGACTGATAGCCATCAATGTGCTCAGTGCCTGCATGAAAAAGCTGCAGATTTGTGGAAGAGCTGTAGCTGTCTTGTTCAAGATGTGGAATCCTTGGTCTAGCCATATTAGCTCAGGAGAATGGAGGGCAGTGGTTTCTGATGGTCGGATTTGTCTATTTTTCACCTCCCTGATTTTGAAGTTGTAAGCTCAATGATAAGTCATATAGTGCCACCAGAACATCCTCAGACATGCAACAGAGCCACATATTGAAGCATTTCTACTTACCTTGAACACTGTTGGCCTCCATTTGGGGATCAATTTTGGAGACGAAGCCTTAGACAAAGACAAAGCTCAGTATTGGAAAACCATCCGAGGCCAATTTCAAGGAGCTAGGGAACACAGAAGTTTTCTAAGCAAAGAATATATCTACTTAGCAAAATAGGCTACTGGCAAAATGCCATGCACTGTGATCTAGTGATTGTTCCCGGCTGACTTGCTTTAACACACAAATCTGCTAAGCAGCATTCTCCTTTTAAGTAGCTCAATGGAATTGGGCCCTGGATGCAACTGATTTTTTTAACTTGCAGTTGAGGGCAAAGCTGAAGGACGCGGCCCGCCACATCAGCCGCCTGGCGACCGAACGCCAGCAGCTCATCCAGCTGGGCAACAAGCTGCGGTCGGAGCTGGCGAGGTACACAGGCCCTGTCCAGGGGCCTAAGGGACCGGGGACGGCAGGATACCGGGAGGGGACAGCCACGGCAGGGCAGCTAGCTCACGACATCAGTGGCAAACTGAGCAACTTGGAGAAACTTCAGTATGCACTGACTAAGCAGGTATCTTTCATAATGTGACCCTTTTCTTGTGTCACATCGACATCGGTGCACACGCCTTGATTTTCACTCCTTGTCCCTTCTTTCTCATAGTTTAAAAAACCTCGGAGAAAGAAACTCTTCAATCTCCCTCATGGAGCTGAAATACATCAGTTATTCATGAAATAAAAGTGGTATTTGATTGCACCGTGCCTCGACTCTATTTTTAAGTTGTCAGTTTTGCTCCCATGCCCCCACTTTCAGATCCGTCTTCTTTTAAGGGACACTGGTCTATACAAAAGAGAAATCCCTTATCTGCTACAAACAGAAAAGGTAATTATGTTCAGTGCATGAAATTAGACAGAAAAATCGGGAAAAAATGTCCTAGCCCAGCCAAGTGTGGTGTCAATATTAGATTATTAATGTAAAGTAGAAAAATTTTATGGTGTCACAGTTCCAAAATATTATAATAAGAAATTAAAGATTGAGTTCACAATATGAATGATCAGCACAACGCTCTACGTGCTGCACAAAGTGTGCAACATTTTTGCAATTTGCTGAAATCCTAACACAAGATTTTTGTATGGTGTGAGATTGCTGCATTATGCACATCAATCACCCAGTAGAAATGCCCATACACTTCATACTAGCATTAGGTCATGAAAGTTACAGTGCCATTGGCTGATTATTTTGGTCCCCTGATGACCTCACGTTTTGGACAGACGAGTTTTTGAGTGTGGAACCACGAAGGTGGAAACCTCCATGGTTGAACGCACTCAACCAAGAGCAAATGCCATAGCGTTTGGACGACTCAATCAGGGCGTAAAAAAAGCATTGAACAAGGTTTCCAAATTCAACCGTAATCAACCTTTTTGGATAGAAACTGTTGCCGCATGTGTACAGAGATACTGGTCAATGGTGACTTGACTTGAAGCCTATTTGTAAGGAGAAATCTTTTCCACCCTTAACTGCCTGCTTTACTGTACCGCATTGTAGTGTACATGCACGTACAGTGTATGTAAGTACTGAGTAAACCACTGATCTACAGGTGCCCTTGTGGATTCACGGACATAAAGCAACAGTTAATTGACTTGTGCTCATATACACAATAAATGAATATATCTTGACATACATGTACAATTTCAAGTCTGTACATCATTCGGACAATTTGTCCGAGCACTTCGGCAGTTGGTCAGACAAATGCAGTAAGCGGTCGGAAAATGCCCGATGTCCGATTTAATTTCATGCTCTGTATGTTTGCAGGAAAGTTGTTTGCTTTTTGCTGTGAGACCAGTGATTGAGTTTTTTTTTTGGGCAGGAGTTGCAGTATGCCCATCGAGGGATGCAGAGAGATCAAGAGACCACAGAGGTAATTCAGGTTCAGCTTAATTCCTCCTCGTCGGAATCACCACCGGAGACGGAGCAAGAGATGCAGCAGAGGGGGCCATCCCAGCGGAGGTCAGCAGGTATGTGGGCCTTGCCTGAGCAAAACCATTTCATGACCTGTAGACTAATCCAGTGAAAAACCATTACACAGGTGTGCTCCTCAACTTGGACTCATCACACTTGTACCGTTAGCATTCTGGCAAGCCACAGTACTTTGCTGGTCTAAGAGGTATTTCACCTGCGCATATATACCACCTATGCATGAGCACAGTGTCACCACAAGTGCCTGCCCCGAGCAGAACACCCCTCATCGGTTGAGAAATGCCATGTTGGTTGAGAGTGCTCATTTCGTTTGTAGTGATGAGACTGCAGTGCTTGTGTTTCATAGTTGTTCATTAACCAGCGATGCACCCTCTCTTGGTCCAGCTCGGAGCCCACTGACTACTTGAACTCTGGTTGCCAGATCTTTCGTATATATATATAATTACTTATTGTCCTGTATTTATACCCACAGAACCACACCCTTCTGGTCCAACTGTGCCAGCCCAGCCCTCCAATCAATCCCATGAGTCCCCTGGAGGAAGCAGCAAGGAGTCTGTGCCGTTGATGATGTCATCCTACGGCGGGGAGTCCCTCCAGGACGTGTGGCAGATCCTCGACGAGGGGCGGAGCCCGACGTTCATGAGGAGCCCCACCCCACAGGCTCTCAGATACTATGGTCTGCACTGGTTTCAAACTTTTATTTCTAATGAAGTGCATTGCATCATTCATGCCGTGACAGAAGTGTTTGGATTTTAGCTCCCGGGGAGGATAAACATGCTGTAGTTTTAAGACATGACTTGTCCAGATCGAGAGGTTTTTCACAAATGCAACATACAAAATTGGCTTCAGACTGCTCACCGACTACAGTAATCCAAAGTGTATAATGTTTAAAAGGCAGAGGGCCTGATGTCTGATCACAGAACAGTTTCCCTGGAAGGCAAAAGGAAAAAGAGAACTCATGATTTTTTTGGCTCGTTTTGAATTTCCTTAGCTGGAAGACCTCTGCTTAATATATTGTAAAGTACACGACGTCATCGAGTTCTCAAAAGTCAATCACAAATTGATCACGAGTCATCCTGTCTTGGGCCAAATGAACTCTGACAAAGACCATATTCCTTTGTTGGTGTTTACCATTGGGTGTGTTGGACTATTGACTTGAACCTGTGTGTGTCTTACAATTTGATTAGAGATTGATGTGTGACTTTGAGTGGTGCCGGGATACAATAGATTTGTCCACAAGCTTAAGTCAAGTCCTTTCATGAGACCAGTCAATAGTAATAGGGCAAACAGTAACCAGGGAGTGCATTCGTCTAAGACCATTTGAGGAGCTTGTGACTTGATTTGTGAATGGATGGCTTCTAATGAACTCAACTTCAACCTTGGGCTAAGCTGTAACACTGTCCTCTCCCACTGATCTCTATACATTGGATAGGCAGCTCAGCAGTAACTGCCCATGTGTAAATTGAAGTGACCGCGTGGCCATCTTAGAATATTCAATACAATGGCCTCTAACCTTCAGTCCATTCACTTAGTGCATTCATGCAAGGTACTGAAGCCAGTGACTTGGAAACTGCCATTGCATTGAATAGCCTAAGATGGCTGCGCAGTCGCTTAAACTCGCAGGGCAGAGCAGCCTATCCAGTGTACAGAGATCAGTGGTCCTCACCACTTCATTGTGATTCATGCACATGTACATCAGCAAGTGCAGACATTCAGTGAAGTGTCATGGCTGTTTATTTTCTTTACAGGAACTGATAAATTTGGGCCCGTTTCCAGCATTCCCGACCAGCGTCAGCATCGAGACACAGACAGCGATCTTGGCATTGCCGGCACAGGGACAAGCTTACAGGCCAGGCCGACGCAAGACAAGAACAAGATCACGAGAGCCGTGGGCAGATCACAGCCCAAGAGAACTCCACAGAAAGCCCGTCAGAAGGTCAGGAACTATAATATCAAGGACAACGGTACGAAGTGACTGGCATCTGGTATGCAAATCATCCCTCATCACTCTGACACGAAAGTACGGTTTAAATACTCCACAGCTGTGGCAAATAATTTCGCCTCAGTTCTCGACTACGATGGTGCTGCCATACATACTTGCTTCTGCCTGCAATATCACACATACCATCCGTGAAGTGAAATGTGTGATGCAGCGATGATACAAAATTGTAAAGCCTTAACCCTAACACTCCTCAGTCCTCCAACAGGTGAAGGATTGAGGAGGGTTAGGGTTAATCATGGAATGGGATTGGACTGGATGTCACAATTGCAAAACTGTGGCTAGTTGTGAGTACAAAAACAGAAGATAATCTCAGGAAATAATAAAATTCTCAAGCAAACATCAAAACAACCAGCCACACCAAATTTGTGAACAGAGAATGGTCGATATACATGTATGATGGTTAACCATGTAGATCTCAGAAATAGCGTGCACTGGCAGAGCAGGCTTGGCTGAACAGTAATGAATTGAGTACCCTCCAACACCTTACAAACTTTGTAAGAGGGAGGCAAGAGATGAGAACCAGTCGAGTGAGATGAGTGCTGGCTGGGTTGTCACCACAATAACAAGGTAGCAAATGTGGCCTTTCAAAATCACATTCATCAACAACTTGAAGACAAATTGCTCTCAGATTTAGCGCAGTAAACACTGGCATTGTTCAACTAAACCGTCATTGATAATAAACAGCAGGCAGAGTGAAACAGTGTGGATGCCAGCGTGAAAGATTAGACTTTGACAAATTTAATCTTATGCTTACACTGGCATTGGTTTGCATTCCAGAGAAGGCTGACGCAGCTTTTGAAGACCATAACAAGGTCAGATGAAATCTTTTTAATATTTGTAAAAGGTCCACCATTGTTTATAAGTGTGTGTAGTTTCAACTTTTAAAGACAACCTTTTGTATTATATGTCACTTGTGTAAATAAATTATTTATTTATCCACGCAGAGGCATCAGTGTCGTTTCCTATTCCTATTAGTGTTTGAGTCTTTAAAACGATTGGACAAATCAATATTGGATTCATTTTAATCAAATGTCTATTAAACCAACCACAACTGTGTTCAGTATGACAATCCTTTGGACTAAAAAGTGGAGCCCTAGTATACTGATGGGCGGCATGTAGGTTTGTAGCATAGTGGTGTTGGTTATTGGCATCAGAAAGGTCCTTCAAATGTTGCCAGATCAGACTGGCTAGCCTGTCACAAGGTAGATCCCCGATGTGATGATGTCTACCGCGGAGTCGACCAGTATTTACACTGCAAATGCAGGCGCAGCGTGCAACAGCCGGCAAAATGTCATCAAAGAAAGAGCCCATCTGCAGGGTAAAGCAGCCAATCTAATGTGCTCCAGAGACTTTCGAAGTCCACACTGATTCGGTTTCTTGTCCCATTTCTTAATCTATTACTCAAACAAGACTTTGCGATTGTTCTTTGTGGCCGAGTGAATTTTCTTCTGTCGTAATCTCTCTCGGTTCATTCTCTCCACCCTGCCAAGACAAAAAACAGAAACTAGATGAGACTGACCTGAAATCTAAGCTAAGCAAAATGTGCTTCAAGAACTAAGCAAATATTGCTGTTGAACTGTTTGCACTGTCCTTGCAATCTGCTCTGAGCAGGAACAAAAGAGGGCGTATTTTTACAAACGGGTAACTCTCTGAACATGGGACGTACTGAACTGAGCATGTGACCAATTTTTTCTTTTGAATGTATGGTCTTGGCATGTACGCCAGGCATTACTCAAGCCCGGTTAGAAATCTTCCCTGTCACTTTTCTTGCTGGTGAGGGCACACTTAAACTTGGGGCAGACAGCCCTTTTATGAATCACTAGGGCCGTGTCCAAAATGGGCTTCCAGAGCTACGGCTGGGTCTATTCTCTACGTTTCTCCACGCATTTCCAATGGAGCGAAGACCTACACCTAGCTGTAGACGAGATTCGGATGCAGCCTGCATTATAAATAATCCTTATCTACAGACAAACGAGCAGTGCAAACTAAGGGGAACCTTTAATAAGACTTGAATCAATGGAAGATACAAAATTGACCACGCATAGGAAAGTTTACTCAGCAAACATGGACTTTCTTGGACAAGATGAACCATATTTTTCCAAAGCATGTTAATCTGGTGATACAGCAACATCATTCTTGTATACATGTACACATCAACCTGGCATCCTGATGTGCTTAAAAAAACAAAACACATATTACACACAAAGCACATTTTCACCTAAATCAAGTTGAGTGGACAGCCTCCAGAGATTACTGTATGTAATTGGTACTTCAAACAGTCAATGGCAATCACAATGCACCTACCTCATCCTTAACACAGCTTTGTCTTTTTCTGACGGCTCCTTGGGTTTCCGCTGCACCTCCTCAATGATGTCTCGGATCTTTTGCAGGCAGTCAGAGAAGTTAGTGATCTGGGACCTTGTCCTTTCCGAGGTCAGGATCAATTCTCCTTGTTTGCTGATTTTGGTGCTTTTCTGGAGCAAAGCATGCAACGTAATGACACTTTTAAAGCATTTAAAAGGAGGTACCCTATTCAGTTTCATGTCGGTGTCACTTAGCATACTATCATCTGTATAATGGCGATTGGCTGAGTCGGTTAAAGGTTGTCATTCTGATATGGAGATTTAGTGAATAATAAAAAGATCCTGAGAACAGATTTCATTCAATTGAGCAAATGGAAAACAATTACCATTTAACGACTCTCTACTACAAGCTGAAGGAGTGGTATTTCGAATGTCTGGACATATTTTCCAAAATAACAAACTTGGCTTTGCAGTTTTTGTTGTTTATTTTTTCAGCCTTACTAGTTCCTTAGATGGCAGATTTTTCTTTAACTCTGAATGCAGAGGGTTTTCTGGGTTTCTCTTCAATCCATGCTTCCGAACAATTAACCCTTAATCTTTCTCGTGTAATTTATGGGAGAAAGAAAGAAACTAAAGCGTGATTCTTACTTTTTCTAGAATACTCTGTCGAATGTGCATAGGCAACCAATCTGCAGATCCCACATGAAACCTGACATCAGCCTTGGTATGAACTTTAAAAAAGATAGAGGCAAGAAAAATGGAAAATACGGAAGAATTGAGTCTCACATGAAATACACATGCATTAGAAATGTAAGCAGAGAAATTTCCATATTAACTTCTGATCACTTGTCAACAAATTAGCAGATGATTCTGGGCTTGCCCGAGCCGGCGTCAGTTATAATAATTCAGTACATGTACATCAATATTTGAACTTGAGCTGGATCAAACATTTGAACATTCGACATGTTCAATGATACTAAGTTCCTCGATAAGTGCAATGTGGATTGAAAGGAACTCAATGATAACACAGGAGAAAACAAAGTTCTGAAAAAAAGGAGAAAATACAAAGATAACAAGCACCAACATCTCCAGCAAATGTTATATTGTAGCATTTCGAACATGGAAAAAGCAGAGGTTTTGCGAGGACAGATGAGCATTTTAGGTTTCAAGTTGGTAATGTAATCATTAGACATGTTAGCGTGGGGTTGTGAAAGTAGGGTCAATTGGTAAGTAGGAGCAGAGGTCATTTTTTTTGGCCTTCCTGTTCGGGCTGTCCTTCAGCTGCCTTCACGTTTCTCACACCTTAGGATGCAATTGTGTTACCGTCATTTATTTCTATTTATGGTTTCAGTGCATTTTTACCTCTGTACATTAATTCCAAAAATAAACATTAAAAATACCTGACATTCAGTGAAATGTTTGAATATTCCGTGAACTTCCTGCACATAAATGTTTAAGCTGTTTATTTTCTGAAGAGGAAGAGCTCAGTGTCCACACACTGAAAAGCGCAGACATGATGACAATTACCATTTCTTCATAACCCATTAACTTCACGAGAGAAAGTAATGTTTCACCTTTATTTACATTCTGGCCACCTGGTCCACTGCTGCAGCTGTATTTCACTGTCAGTTTTTCTAATTAACAGAAACAAAAGCACAGATTATGTTAATATTATGTATGAATGCACCTAGTCATTTCTCGCTTCTCCCCATGTAACACATACAACCCAATTCATAGCGCAACGAAGAAATAACGTCCTGACCAACTTTGAAGGTCAAGGGTTAATAAGATGACCATGGATATGCATTTGGAGTACAAATGATACGCACGCAGCACTACACATGCGTACACCTACCAGCAAAGTCTGAGAAATCCTTGGTTTTATTACCAGCAATATTTAATAACAATTTGAAAGAACTAATAATTTACAAGTTCCTGGATGTCCATACCTGCCAATTCTCAAAAGTTATGTGGAATTAAAAATGCAGTGAATTCTTTAACCCTAACAGTCCCAAATCCTCCAGTTTCAATATGATTTTACATACACCCTAGGGGGTTAGGGTTAATCTTTGTATCAACAGCTGCACTCACCTACAGGTATATGCCCGTCAAACTCTTCAGTTGGTTCTTTTGTCTGAAGGATAAAAATGTGTAGAGGGGATGTTTACTACAAGTACAAGCACTTTGAGGGAATCTGTACTTGGTATAATCACTCGATCTGCCCGATCATTTACAAGTAATCTTTGTGTGGTCTATCGATCTTTATATTACAGGAATTGCATTTCTGGGTTCCGGGTGAAGTGACATGGGGCACCATGGACATAATGGAAACTGGGTGAACATGGTTAAGTGCCGACAGTTACCCCTCCTCATAGACATAGCCTAGGCACTGCAGGCCATGGCCTACCTCTACTCCGAGAAACTACTGTGCTACACCGTGTGCACAGAGTAGTGATTCAGAGGGAGTTCTCAGAGCAGCCTACCCCCAGAACTGTGGGGTCCATTGTCTTCCGCACTCTCATCACCCATGGACAGATGGAGCGCGTAACGGACGACAGGGGGATTGTATACTTGGGCCCCCCAGTTGTTTGACATTTTAATCTTGCAAAACTGGTAAGTCCCCCCCAAAAAACAAAGGCAACACTCTCTTTATTGCACTGACCCTATTATTTTGAAATTTCAACTTGTCACTTCTGTGAAAATGTGACTTTCTTAATACTGATATACTAACCATACAATTTTGAATCTACCATCTGACCACGTGGCACGTGTTATAACACTCACAATTTTCCCTCAAAATTTCCCTCAAATCCCTGCCCTTTTTTGAAAACATTTCTGCAGTTATTGAGCATGATGTCACAGTCATCTCCCAAGGTGAACTCAAAAGTTAAAATGTAGCTCTCCCTTCTGCCATGACTGTGTCTAGTAAAGGCCTAGTTTTAGTAGCCTAATAATTAGGCCTACACCAATAGGAAAAGGGTCCCCCAAATTTACAATCCCAGACGACGGACCCCACCATGCCCTAAGTGCTGGGGGTAGGCTTTATACTCAACGTGAAGTAAGAATGCAACATTCTTTCCCCTATTTCTCTCCAACCTTCCAACACCACTGGTATGTGGAGTAGGCATCGGCCTGGGTGCACCAAAAAAAAAGAGTCATCACAAGTCGAAAAATTGGAATCCGCCCTTACGTTTGACGCTTGTTCGACTGGAGCGGTGATGTCTGGATTACTGTTGGGGTACAGTTTTTCCAAACTGTAGGCACTTTTATAACCTTCTCCGTTGACTGTGCAGGCACGGGAAATACTTCTGTGAGTTCGCACAAACGTCTGCGAAATCTGTTTCAACATCCTGACGCCAAATTTAAGCGACTACCTTACAGAAGTTGCACACAGTGAGTTCGCGTCGACTGCTCTCGATATCGATCGAGTGTAGCGGTGCTGCAAAGACTACGTAGCGCATAATAGCCATGTGATTGCATGCCGTGCGCACCCGCGCACTTGCGATATTACAAATTTTGCTGCACTTTACTATTTACTGTAGCACCCCAACTAACCTCGTTCAGATGTACTGGGAACCTAGAAAGATTTATGTAATTTATAAGTCATTTGAAAGCATCACAAATACCTCAAAAAGTATTAAAAAATATTGCTGGAAAGTTAAGTAATTCTTTAAATATACCTAAAATAAATCTCTCAAACGATTCCAAGGACGACGTGGAACAACACAATAATATACAATATAAATATTATTAATAATTCGTAATTAAGCATGAGGTAGCGTGGCCGAGCGGTCTAAGGCGCTGGTTTAAGGCACCAGTCATTTCGATGGCGTGGGTTCGAATCCCACCGCTGCCAAGATTTTTTTGTCTCCACTGAAAACTTCGTATCAAACGTATTCAAGAAAAAACATCGCCATTTCTGTATACTGTTTAATATAACTTGTTTTTAAATTTTTCTGGACATGTTTATATGTATTTTTATCTATACTGTCTGTATCCCATTGCTATATTTGTAATCTGCGTCCCGTTTTCGGTTTAGTTCTTTTACGTTATTCATTTTAAATCATACTTAGTATATTTCTTCATTGGGTGGGGGTGTGGGAGAGCCTGTTTCTGTGGATTTTGAATTTTTTTTCTAGGGTTGAGTGTTTATAATGTTGTAATTTGTCTTGTTTCCTGTTCGTCAGAGTGTCTAGTGTATGTTTTAAATTATTACCCTGTATTCTATCTTATAGTTGTTTGTCTCTGTATGTCTAAAACTTTTTTTCGTTCTGTTTTGCTACTTTGTAAATGCGCCTGGAGAGCTATCAGATAGTTATTAGGATAACTTATTAGCAATCCGCCAGGGGCGCCTTTTTGTCATTTTATTGTATTGACATGCGAAATAATAAATGAAATGAAATCGGAATTTTCCCTTTTTTAAATAAGTTCTACCTAACAACTGGTCCACACATCCATTTGCAGAGGCTGCACTGAAGGCCCGATCGACACGTAATAAGAGAGAAAAACTAGTAAATAATCAGCAGTTATGCAATTACATGTATCTAATCGATTATTTCCTTTATGCAAAATCCCACTTGATTTTTGGGCCTTTTGACATTTTTTTTTCTGCGACACTTTCCAGATTTTATCCTGTGACCTACAGGTTTCCACAGAGTGCGCCTCTAAGAGTTTGCAACGTGTTAACCAATCACAATGCACGAAATCTGTCGACCCAATGGGCGTTTGTAAATGGTCGACAGATATCGCGCATCGTGACCGGTTCACGAGTTGCAAACTCTTGGGAGGCGCTCTATTGTGAATCGCCCGTGTTGAACAAGATTAATTTTCCGTCCGATTGTAGCATTATTATATTTGCCGTGCGGTATCTCAAGGTCATATAGCTAGGTTTGGTTTTTTTACTTTGAAAAGAAGAAGGAAAAAAAACCAAAAAGTATTTCAGGTAATAATGAAGAAAATTTTCTCAAGTTCACTACTTAGACCGAAACGTGGCGTGCGACTGATGATAGGTTCGGCCCTAAAATTCTTTCAAATGTTATTGAGTGCCCTGAAGGGAACATTCCACTGAATGGGTGGATTTCTACACGCGAGCTTATCGATGTTTTGTGATCCCACGGACTTTTTTTATAATGTGAAGTGCCATCATTTATCTTTATAAATCACGAAATAAGGACTTACTTAATTTTGTCCAACTCAGCTTCGTTCACAAAATAAAAACCTCCAACCTGGGGTCTATTTGGATAGAGGCGGGGTGCTACTACATTGAGAGCTGAGCGCATAGTTTTACTCCTATATTAGGGTTGTTTGTGATGAAGGGCGAATAAAGATAAAAAGAAAAGTAACAAAACTGTGTGGCTAACCTCATTAAAATTGAAAAGAAAAGTGAATTTCTGGCTATTATTGGATTTAACCTCTCCCTGGGAGTCACCAGGCGACGCTGTTTCTGTCCAATATTACACCGACACTGTTAGATTCGATAGAGGGCGGGCCTCATATCATATTGTGTGGATTTCCATTTCCGTTTTGTACACGAAACACATACTCGACCTCACGCGCCGCGCACGCATAAGACTTGAGATACGGAGGACCGGCACCTACATGTACTGTACATGTTACGTTAGGCTCAGCACGGTACTCATGTAGGCCTACTGGTGAAACTTAGTTGAAATTTATGATGTAAGCCGGAGCCAACATCAAAACTTGTTGAAGGAGCTGCAACAATGGCAGATGTTGAGGATGATGATCCAGTTGTTGACGAGGTAATCGTAATGTTGGCTGTTAAATCTCACCATGATCTCACTTTCTCTGAATAAACAAAACAGCCTTTTCCTAGGCCTACCTCCATTAAAGTTGTATTGTAGGCCCCTAGCCTTCCATGTGCCTAGTGTAGGCCTTACTCCGAGCAGTAACTTCATAAACTTACACTCTACAAATTGCCCTTTTAAATATTTGGACATGGTTGGGCGTCTAAATACCTTCCATAGCCTAGGCTGGGCTTTTCATTCATTTAACTCAAAACAACTCGTACTTCCTACCCTAAATGAAAATCCTCCGAATTCACCCCTAAAATGGTCCTTAAAGTTAAACTGTCAAATGGCAATGCGTCCGGCTTAGGATAAGGCCCTAAGTGAGAATCAGAGATTCCAATAAAGATGGTAAGGTTAACATAGTTTATTCACATTTCGGAAAAAGAGAGAAATTTCCACCTCAAATTGGAAATGCTCTTGTTCATGTTGTCGTCGAGCTCAAAGTCGCCATCTTTTTCAAATAGTGATTTAAGTTATATGCTAATGTCCTGGAGATGAGGTCACAGCATGCTGGCCAAGCGAACCATTCACAAAAAGGCATGCCAGGTTGGCACACACACGCTGACGACTGATTCCTTAGCACCGCAGTGTCCGGAGTACAATTTCAGTGTGATCACAGCCACCAGACATTGCAAAAGCGGACAACGAACAAATCCCATAATTCCAGGGAAGGATTAGCGGATGAAGTTTAGAAGTAAAAATACTGCAATGCCAGGTCTTAATGAACTAGGAGTCTATAAATCACTTTTGCTCTTTTTTGGTCACGATTCGGTGTTAATCCTCGTTCTTTACCCTATCAATTACCATGAACAAATCAATTTGTAGAGTCCTATATGTACATGTTCATCTTGTGAGCCTATGTGTATGTCATAACATAGAGAACTACCTTTGGAACTCATATAGGTACAATCAGACTAGTAGTTCTGGGAGAGATTCCAAAATATAGCCGTAAAGCCTATTTTTCTTGTACATGTACCGTAACTCTGTCATACATGTACATGTAGGCACAGTATGCAGTAATTAAAAAACAAAGATTGCCATACCGGTTTGAGTTTACAGTTTATGCCTTTACAATGTACAAGCTTTGAACAATGACGTACTTTTATTACTCCATTTTGATACAGTACTGTTGATATTTCTCCCCACAGGTTGATGTCTTCTTGTCCAGGGGCCTTGCCGAGAACCTGTATCTTTTCCAGGTACATGGGCATATTCAAACATGTGGAATGTATTTCTTGCAGCTGCTTAGTCTTGGCTCAAGACTTCATTGTTCCACATATTTTGTTAATGTTCACTGGCAGACATCTGGCCAGGGCATGCTTCGGTACATGTATTCTGTACAGTGATAGAGGGCGCTGCCACAGGCCGAAATCAAGGGGTGAGGCTATATTAAAGCCAGGAACTCTGTGCATGACGTCACTATGTAAAACTCATTCTATACAGTCATAGAGGGCGCTGCCAAGAGGCTGAACTCCAGCCAACCCAACATGCCCAAGCTTCCATGCCATACATAGTTAACATCTCATCAAACCAGTGCAGTTAAAGTTATTTTGCCCCATCTTCTCCATTTTGGCTGTTGGAGAGTAATGCAAATCTGTAGTATTCTCACCACCTAAAGTTAGAGGAAAAGTGACGGGAGCGGAATGATAAAGAAATACCTAATTGTATGAGGCCTTCAGATCCTTTTTTGTCATTTTGGTTCCCTTGTTAGTATCCAGTTCGACCCTCAGGAATGCCCTATGATGACTTCGAGCATCTGTCTGCAAAAATCAAACCAAAACAGAATATGGTAAGAAAATGAAAAGTAAAAACACCAGTTAGGCAGTGTTAACAGAAGAATGATGACAGGTGAACCAATTCAGTTTTGCCATGTTGTTAATTTTCATTTTGAATTTTTTTGGGTCAAAAGGTTGAACTTGAACTTGGACTGGAAACCCAAAACTCCAACTACGACAAAAGCCGTGGGGAGCAGATTGCAATAAATGTGGACGGGGCCAACCCCATTGGAAGTAAGACATTTCAAAGGTATGACTATTTCCACTTACAGTGTTGTTCTTATGAAATAATATGTAACCCTAACCCTACATAATACTTCTAATTACTACTTGTAGTAAAATGTAGTGCTGAGAGTTGTCACTTGTAAGAGGACATGACTTTATTGTTCTGTGAAGCCATAAGATACAATAGATAAGGCAATGTACCATACAGTGCTTTGGCACTATGAATGCATGGCTTTATTGTTCTTTGTGCAAGTAATCAATGGAAGTAACCTAGCCAGAAGTAGTAATCTGTAGTGCTAGGTCCTTCAGGCTCAGGCTATTACTTAGTATTTTGTAGTACTGTGTAGTGTGTAAGCCAAACAATATGCTTGGCGGTTAGTTAAGGATTCATCAAAAGTGTTGCAAATTTTAAGGAGCTGTTGGAGAGAACACTGGAGGAAAGTTTGGTGAAGAAGTAGAAGTGAATATGCTGGAAAACATTCACAGAATTGGTTAAAGGCGGTAAAAGGGTTCACTGTACACATTCCAGTCCTTGACACCTTTAATTAGATTCGAACCTGCGTCACAAACTTGCACAATTTGCAAAGAATCGCAAACAAGGCCTGACTCCCGCTTCGCCAGCAGAATATTTCAGATGTTGAAAGTTGTTTTTTACCTTGCCTGCGGTGATATTAGGGGGGGCTGATTGCCAATCTTTGCTGCTTTACCTTCCAGCGATGTGATGGACAAACAGGTGCTAGCTACCTCAAGCTGTGTTTCTGCTACCTCTCGTTATGCCGTGGGTATCCTGAAAGACGGTAGGTACTGACCCTACGGTCACCCCACATGCTGAATGCATTCTTCAACTCCTCATGTGTATTCAAAAGTAAAGTAGTATTTTCCTCTTTCATAAAATGATGCACCTCTGGTGGTATTGGAATTGGACTTTGTAATTTAAAGTTTTCCCTGCTGAATCATTCTTAATGGCTCAAGTCTTTTCACCTCTTAGAAAGATCTGCTGTGATTGGAATGTCTTACGGGTTGGTCAGCGATGGTTGTATCCAGCTCTTTCATTGCATTCTGCTTTCTCTCCATCTTCCAATCTGGGCACTGTCGATAGACAGGCCAGAACACCTCTGTGCTAGCATTCCCAAACTGAAACTTTCCACTGATGTTTCAACAAATAACTGCATGGAAAAATCTGTGCTTATTGTTTGGTACACCGGGAAACAAGATAAAATGAAAAAAAAGGAAACAAGGAAAACTTTTTTCCAATCCTCAGACAATTCTTTTACAGCTAATGATTACATTGCATGTTTTATATTTTTCTTAGGAGAGCTGCATCTGACACCCCTCCATGGCATCATTCAGCTTAAGCCCAGCTTTGCCTACCTAGACAAGGCTGACCAGAAGAGCAAAGTGGAGAGGGCGGGAGATACTGAAGGTAGGGTGTGCAAGTCTGAAAATAATGCTCACAGAACGGGGGGGGGTCCTTTGACGGGTATTGCCTTGGACTGGCCAACCATTTCCGGCATGCTCTAGTCTCTGTTGAACCAAGAGTGCTGTTTAAAAGCCCTTTTGCCCCAGTGCGACTCTCCTTCAAAGTACGTGTTCAATGCTTCCTCTCTATGGTCTTTGAAGTACATATAAAACAAGGCCCAGGCTGTTTATTGAGGTATTTTTTGAGAGCCTCTGAGCTACTCACATCTGTGACCTGTTCCACACAGTGTGTCTTCACAAGTAGGCCTCACTGCACCGTGCACCTCACTGCACCGTGCACAAACAGTGCACAGAGTGCATAATGACGACTCAGGTCGGTTTGATTTAGATCCGGATTCAGATTAAGAGGAAAAACACTGTTGAAAAATTATAGTTTTAACCTCTCTAGTATTTGTGTTGTCTTTTTTAGAGTTTCTAGAGAAAAGATTTGTGATATTTTACTTTCGATGATAGTTACCAGTATTTAAGTTGACTTATTTAAAACTAATATTATTTAAAAGTATTGTTTTAAGCAAATATTGCAATAGTTAAAAAAAATTCAAATTGATTCAAAGAAAACTATCTGATTGAAATGTTCAAATACTGATTTATTAAGTCATAACTTTTATTAACCCTGTGACTATTTTTTTCTTTTCCTGTTGCCCTGCCTCCCTGTCCAGGTGAATCGTCCCAGGAGGAGGAAGAAGAGGCCAAGCCCATCAAGGTCCAGTTTGCTCGGCCAGAGAGTGACCAGGCCAGAGCGCGGCGGCTGGCTTCCTATTCCCACCACGAGAAGATGATGTCAGAGGAGATGTGGGTGCCTCTCACTTGCCGGCCAGTCCAGGTGAGTCCAAAAAAAACTAACATCAGTCAAGTCAAAAGATCAGAAATATCTCAGAGGCTGAGTATTTCTTGCCAAAAGAATAGGCTTTTATGAAAAAAATATCTCTATAACTGTCCACAACACTACATCTAGAAGTTTGCGATGCCATTATAAAAAATGAACAAATGATAAACAAATCATATACAAAATCAGTTGCAATAAAGCACACAAGACAGTATAATACCTTCTTACATCTAGGAGTATCCCCAGCCACGATTTAGCAAGAATTAAAAGATGAACTACACTTTTTGCCCTGTTGAAAATTTCTGTTCCTTTTAAATTGTTTAATGAATAATTTGCTTTTGAATTGCAAGATTTTTGTCGCTTTCATTTGAATCTGCTTGAAACAAGCCTCCATAGTGCAATTTTTCTCATTTAAAACAAAAGAAAAAAATTTCCCTTCCTTTTCATGAATTTTGCATTCGAATATTCAAATTCGAATAATAATATTCAAATATTTGATAATCGATCGAATATTTGGATATCGGGCACTGCCATTTTTTCTTTTTTACCTGTATCTCTTGAACCCTAAAGAGTAATTCATTTGGCAATCAATCCAACATGCTCCTCTCCCCATGTGTTGTAGTTGTCACATAGTTGTTACCTTTTAGTCAATGTGTCCACACGTCATACAGTCCATCCTTCATTCTGAACTGGTTTGTCCTCTGTCTTAGGATGAGCGATCTTATTCCGAACGAGAGAAGCTGTTTTGTCAGGCGATGGACAGCGAGGTATCCCCACTCAACCTTCCATCCAAGTAAGTGCAAAGGCTGCGTCTAATCAACCGGCTATGGCTAAGTGTATGATGCTTGTCTATGGGAAGGGGCTGTAGCCGCTAGCCAGCAGCTTCTGTAGGCACACAGTTATTTACAGCCACAGCCACAACATTCAGTCACAGCAGAAGACTAGTATCATTGGATTAAAGACGATGTTTTTCAATCCCCAGGTTGGTCGCTAACATCGGCTTCAGATTTTAGTTTCACAAATTTACTTCCCTTCCAGAAAAGTGTCAATCAGTGAGCTTTTGACATGCAACGAAATGGCACACATACTGACGTATTAGTGTCATTGGAACAATATCTGTGTGATTTTCTTTCCACCGTAACCAAGGATACACCCATAGAGTGCCCCCAATATACCACGGGCAGTGGCCAAGTTCAGTACACTGTCACCTCCACTGACTCCTCGGACCATGTCTGTGTGTGAGCACCAAACAAATTGGGAAGTACCATGTATAAAGTCAGCCAGATGTGAGTTGGAGTGTGATTGGCAGCTAAACCCGTCAGCTGTGCTTGTGTATATGAATGGTCCAAAGGCATTTGCACCAGGTTGTAAATGCAGCCCCTATTCTGTGCTACGGAGTATCTGAGCGTTGCCATTTGGTGTCCAGAGTGCTTTCTGTGAAGATGTGTGAGATGAAGCTTATAACAGAGACATAGCCAAGAATTGGAGAAGTAGCTCCTCCATCAAATCCATCACAAGTCTGCTCAAGTATGAGTAAATGTGAACTGTGAAGAAGTAATGCCTTTTCAAGGCCCATTTGAGTAGCTTTCGGCTGACGACTTGTGGTGGAACTTTGGAGATGTACCATGTACATGTATGTAACTGTGCCATCAGCATAATTTATTCATTGAGATGATTTTATTTGAAATATAATGAGAAACTGCTTCAGAAACGACCTTATATTTGACCTTTTCATTTGCCTGTGTTTTCTCAGAGACTATCTGGCTACACTTGTCCCTGAGGCTTCAGAGGATGAAGCAGACAAACCCCAGTTACCCTCCAACGTTTTGTCCATGAGCAACCTGAAATCAATGAATTTGGCTGACCAGGTCAAAGCTCTGCTTATAAATGGTGGGTCTTCATGTATGCATGTCCTGTCTGCTACTTCATTGAAAAGACAACAGTAATCTATGTAGAAGTTGAACCCTCAATAAGTGTGTGATTTCAGCAAAGTACATGTTGGTAAAATTTTGTAGTTGCCTTCCGAAACTAAATGGAGTATTTCAACCTATCTTCATGAAACTATCATTAATTTATTAGGATAAATCAAAGTTTTGTTGTTTAAAAAGTTTGTTTTTTTCAGTTAACTAATTCTGTAGCCTTCATCCAAGATGTCTTTTGATAGCCCCTATTATTTGAAATTTCACATTTTTTCCACTTTTTCATCAGATATTGATCCATTTAAAATTATATTCTTTCCTCACATATCTAAATGGCACATTTACCAATAAATTCTCGTTTTCAGTACCTGGTTTTTATCATGTTTGGTGTTTTCGTTTGATTGTCATAGCGAAATCCTTGAGATTCTCCCAGCTAATTACCATCTTACCCGGCACACCAGACCCTACAGCTGTTCTGAGGGCGGTGCAGCAGGTGGCCATGTTGGTCCAAGGTTGTTGGGTTGTCAAAAGGTCAGCAGTTTTCCTCCATCATTCCTGTTCATTTTAAAGTACTGTGCCACTAGTAGCTCCTTCTTCTCAAAAGTATTTTGCTTCACATGGCGGTTGGAGCACAATGCCATTTCTTTTTTCATGTTTTTAGCAACTACATGTTACTTGTTATAGTTCAGTTTCATCAGAAATGGAATGGATTACAAACGTTGAAGTGATGACCCACATATGATATCTAGTCACTTGGTGTTGACCGTGGCCACAGAACAGCTTTCTAAGAGTGTTATTTCTTTCCATCATGCTGAACACCACACACCCCACGGGAGATGAGACACATGTAACATTAGAGGGCTGAAGGTGGTTGTGCTGTTAGTCATGTGGGTGGTACGAGGGGAGGGTCTAATGATTCTGATTCCTAGACATAATTCTGGCAAACAATACATGTTGGAGTCACACTTTAAAGTGCCATGTTGGATTGTATTTATTACCCAAAGTAGAGACAGTGGGAGCAGTCAGGTGCTGTAGGTTACGGAGACGTCTATTGGCTATTGAAAAGCGATGTGTCTTGGATAGCATTGGCAAGGCGATCTGAGACTGCCATTACTTTAAACCGGTATTCATAATTGTTTCCCTGTTCCAGTGATATTTTGTATCCCAAAGATACCACCAGTCCTATAAGTGGTGTTCCGGCTGACATTCTTTGTAGAGGCCGAGACTATGTGGTAAGTTATACTTGTTACACCAAAATCTGGTACAGAATTTTGTCCTTAGAATTACAATCAGTGTTTACGATCAGTAGTTTGGTGTTCCACATATGTACACGTATGCCGGCATGCCAAAGATTAAGGCCATAATTGTCATAACAGAAATGGCTTTCTCAAGAGAGACAGTTTTTGTGATCACAAATTAAAGTCATGGGTTGAGGCAATGGCCTTGGAAGGGCATTGCACGAGTGTACACTGTTACAGTCAAACCTACCATTGTGGCCTCCGTGTTACAGGGATCACCTGGATAAACTGGTTCCCTTTGCTTGGTCCCAGTTTGATTCTCACGTAAACATACTGTAACCATGCCTTGCTATTGCAGCCACTGCGTAACGCAGCCTGTGTTCAACCTAGATCAAATCATTGGTGTACGGTTACATTGCCGTGAAACCTTTGTACTCTGGCCTCAAAAATGTATGTAGGGTTAAACGTAGATTTCTTCTTGCCGTTGGTGTGCCCTAACAGAAATACATGTAAACATTAAATCTTGGTTTCAGATTGATACATTCGTTTGACAAGTAGGGTTAGAGGGTATGTCTGTTGGCACATACAGATGCACGCATATGTACGTATCTATAAATGTTGTACGTACATGTACAAGTGTCCAGCCTTGCTATAGTGACCACCTGCCATCAATGGCCACGTACAGCCGGTACCGTGGGTGGCCACTATATCAGTGTTTGACTGTGTAACAAAAATCTTTGGTCTGTTCTACTATGCCTACTCAGATGTGGAGATTTAATCAGAGTCGGTGTATTGTGAGGAAGGAAGTTGCCTCCATAACAAAGGTGAGTTGGAAATCTTTCCCTTATTGGCAATGAACATTCTCAGCTTGTTTTGTCCGCCAAGAGGTTAGAGGCGGCTGACTCCAATAAAGGAAATACCTCAAATCATGACCCTTCTTGATATGCATTTTCAAGTGCAGCCTATCTCCTGCAGCTGGAAACATGCTAAAAGTGAGTTCAATGCTCCTTGAATAAGGCTTTTAAAATGAACCAATGTCATCTGAGTTCAGAGAATAATTAGTACTTGTCGCGTTCTTATGTGATGTGTAATGTTGGCTGTGTGCCATAGATTGTCTACATTCCAAACCCCCAGAAATGGAGTGCCTTGTTCTTCAAAATGTCAGTTTCAGGAATACACAGCCTGACAGAATACACTTTGGCCCTATGCCTGAATTTTTAGTTAAAAATGATGCTGCGTAAGTTTTTTACTGCAACGTTAATTGGGCTGCGTTTCAGCAAAATGCAAGAAGCATATTTCTTAAAGTGCCAACCTCCTGTTCTTTAAGTGATCCAGTGATTTCAAACAAAAGACTGTTTTTCAGATTTTATCCATTGTAAAATTTTTACATGTATGCACTGCCCAATTTCTTAAACATGATATATTTCAGATTGATACACAGCACCATGAGGACTGTTTAAAGATGGAAGGAGTTCTTACAGAAGTAGTTATTTTATTATTAATGGTCATTTGTGATGTCTGTGAGAGGCCTACTTACCGATTTGACCTGTTGTTGCACAGTTGCCTTCGGAGGACATGAAGGATATCCTGGAACAGATGGCCAGGCCTAAGATTAACCAAGGTTGGGAGTTTGCGCTGGAGTTTGACAGCGATTTTGTCGTGCACCACGAGGAGGTTACACAGCGCCAGCACATGCTGTGGGATGCCAAATTCCAACAGTACGTATTCCTGCAGGGAACTGGATTTTAGTTCTTTTAACCCTTCCAGTTCACTTTCTTGTTCTCGTCAGATCCTGTTTGGTGAACTCATAGCACAGTATAATGCTAGGCTTGTGGGGGGATTTGGAGATTTCATTGGAGTAGCTGCTTAAAAGTGGTGCATTGACTATTGTGTCATCCAGCACATTCCGTTTGACTGATCTTTCATGGGAACAATTAGAAACTGTGATTGGCACTGCGTTGACAAAACCTGTGGAACTAGTATGTCATGAATGCTGCCAGGCATACACACCAGCCATGCTCAGTTTTGTTTCTCTTTGTGTCAGTGGGTTACCAGCGAAAATTTCATGCATTATCTGTGCCTTGCCAGTTCTCGGCAGATTTTTTGCTAACGAAGTACTCTAATGCATTGGGGACTATTGTCTGCTTGTATTGTCCATGATTGTCCCAAGAAGGCAATGGGCAAGGCAGGTCATGCCAGTCACAGGTGATATACCAGAAAGTTAGTGAAGTTTTTGACTAGTATACTTTGCCTGAATAAATCTGTGATTGTGAGGTTGTCAGTCAAGTGTCCTTGATTTACTTGTGCACGTTGGTAATGTGTTAGAACACATTACCAACATGCACATTCCAAGCTGTACTTTCAAAATAGAACATTCTAATTCATGGTGTGCAGTAAATAAGAACATCTTCACCAGTTGGGGCTTTGTCTTGGTATGCCAAATACAACATGGTGTCCTTCCGATGTCCCAGAAGTTGTCTAGCATAAATTTCAAACATGATAATTCTTGAAAATTTTTGCATTGAAAAATACCTTTGATTGCACAGCAGCTTTTTTATGTTTGGAAACAAAATCTTTCAACGTATACTCAACTTGTTCCAATGTTTGAACAAGTCTCCCTTGGAACTTTTTTTTCTGTGAAGGCTTTCCAAGGTGTTAAAAGTTCCCAAGCAAGAGCTGGAGAAGAAGGCTAAAGGAAAGGACTCTAAAGATGTAGGACTAGCAGGTAACATTTGTCAAGCTTCCTAGCTAATAAGTTTTGATACGCACTGCTACATGTCGGAAGCAACATCTAGCTATCAGTAAGCAGAGAACTTTACTTTAATAGCTTTAAACTCAGCGGTGTCAGATCACTTAAATTTTGGTTGTGACTTTCTGAATGCATGTAGTTTGTACCTTTCAACCATTTTGTGTCTTAGTTGAAGTTATGTCAGGTCAAGAGCGTGTCAAGGTCGCCCGTAGCCGTGCCCGGACCAAAAGTCTCACCCAGCAAGAAAACACCAATCCTGCTAATGCACAGAATAGCAATTCGAATTCTAGAACTTCTTGCGAAGTGTCCGAACCTGTTCCTGAGATCAATTCTGAGCCCAGAATCAATACTGTGGAGCCCATGGAAATGAGCTCTGAACTGGACCCTTTAAGAGGGACCACAGCGTTGGAAGACGCCAGCACCCATATCACTCAGAATGGGCCCTGCGCCAATAATAACGGCATACCCAGCGAGGACGCAGTCAAAAACGAACTGAGGAGTTTCTTACGGGACAAGTTTGTCAAGCAGCCCATCATGAGCATGGCTGACATGCGGCGGCACATTAACCTGAGATTGGTGGAGAGGCCGCCGGGCGATTTACTCGGGGAAGGGATATCTGACGCCATGCTGGAACAGTGTGCCGTGGATATAAGTGCTGCATTGCTGCAGATCCCTGTAAGTTCGACTAACATATTCTTTGCCAGTTTTGACCCTAAGGAAAGGGGTTAAGATGTGCTCTTTCTGAGTTCACAGCCTTGATTCAGTAGGAATCAAGCCTATATTCCAATGATGTATGCTTTATATGCTGAATGAAAATGAAATTATAGTGTTCACATGTAAGAAATGTCCATTTGCAAGAAATGTTTGATAATAAGGTCCATCAGTTTAAGCTCTTGTCCAAGTTTGTCAATTGTAGGTAGTGGAACATTTTGTTGAATGTGGGCGATTCACAATAGGGCGCCTCCAGGAGTTTGTAACGTGTTGGCCTATCACAATGCACAAAATCTGTTGACCCAATGCGCGTTTGGAAACGGTTAACAGATTTCATGCATTGTGATTGGCTAATGCATTGCAAACTCTTGGAGGTGCACTATTGTGAATTTCCCGAATTCAGAAAAGATTTTGACTATGCACTAGCCATCAATTCCATCAATGCAATACCGTGCAAAAGGTCTTGCTTTCTGCTACCACCAACAGAGATCCAACAAATACCTCCAACTCTTTGGTGTTGTTGGATTCAGAAGGTTTTTAAAGAGACAAACATTTCAGGCACTGCATGAGTCACCTTACGTATTTTAGTAAAAAACCAGGAACACTAGTGAAATTCGACAATATATAGCTTAGGCTTTCAGTGTTCCTTGAACGGCATTAGAAGTCCTTGTAACTACATCCAAAGTCTTAAGTCAAGTCACAGGCTATTCACATGAAGTGTGGCAAGAGCATTCCCTTGTTACTTGTGACTGGCTTGTCATAAAGTCATCATGATTTGATTTGTGAAGGGACTCGTGGACATGGCACTGCACTGCTATACTGCATTGTAGCCATTTACAGTGTACTCGTAAATTCAGAAAGCCGTAGTGCTTGCCTTAGCAACCTTGTCTCTGCTATAGGTATCACATTCTGGTTCCAAAAGTTTTGGTCCCCTGACTTAGGGAGCTCTGGATCAATCCCTCTGTCTGGCTCGGGAACATTTACCCAAGAGGCCTATTGAGAGGATCTCCATTAGTCTGAGTCTTCAAAACCAGAGTTGTAGCCAGAGCCAAAGAAAAAAATTGAGATTCGAGAATGGTAACCTGTGGTTACTACAGGCCACTTTTCATGGTGTCAACCTTAACTTATGTGTCTACTGAATTTACAGTGGCCATCCAGTAATTCCATGGAGGATAAGAAGTTGTTTGGCTTTTGTGACTGTGGAGATTCCTTGGACAAGGTAAGATTATTTAACTTAAGTGAATGTAGATTTTCCAGCTCTGTCAAATTCTCTTCAGATCAGAATTTAATTGACCAGCCTGTTTATGATAGCCTGCCGGGAAAAATACATGAAGTTGTGAAGAAACACCTCAATGTCCGCCTTCTCTGAAGAAATAACTTTACATATTTCGTGGATTTTTTAATGATAACTAAAAAAAGACATACATTTACACGTACATGGAGACTGGGCTTAGATTTTCAACAGTGTAGAATAAATTCCATTTACACAGATCAGCCTCCATTTACATTTCAGTTTGATTGGTTTTTCAAATCTTGTTATATAAATGTATTTGTCATTCAGTTCCGTGCCGTAATCTTTGATATGTATCGAGAGAGTTTCAAACATCGTCGCAATCAGTTTTCTGACCGCTTCAGGGAAGTTCTTGGTCGGGAACCAGCATCAAGAGTGGAATTTGACAGACTCATTAAGGTATGCCTGTGTCTTTGGGCAAACGCCTACATGTAGCAGCAGCATATTTACAAACCATCCAGTGCTGGACAGGAGTCAGTTCTGAGCTGTTTTCAAGCAAATTGTTGATTTTCGTTACTGTTTCTTTGTGCCTTTTCTTTTTCTCTCCATTATAACCCTTTTTAACTCTAAGCTACATGTACATGACCTGTCCGCTCCGAGCAGGAACAAAAGAGGGCGTGTTTTGAAATGAAATTAGCAGTCCTTTGGTACGCATTCACCGCATAGGCGCACAAGTTTATGCATGTTTGACATGGAACAGACTGAGTACACTGAAGAAATTTAGTATGGAATGCATGGTCTTCGCTTGCATGCCTGTCTTTCTTTCACCAGTGAGGGTGCACTTCAGCTCAGGGCGGATAGTAGCTATCAAGCATCAACAAACATGGTGTAATCCCACAGCAAAAAGCATCATTCGTGTAAGTGTAATTTACCAAAAATAAAGCCAACTGCTGCACTGGGTACGATACCAAAAATTGGCTTTGTTTTTGGTAAACAAAACTCAAAACACACTTTGCTATGGGAAGATGCCATGTTTATTGATGTTTGATATCTACTATAGATCATGTGACTTAGCGGGTGCAATTAGTCTATTGTTGACACAATTCAGACCCCTTGCTCGTAACATTGAATACTCTAATCTTAGGTGGAATCCAAACCATACAAGCATTTACTAATCCTCATATTGAGCTAAGTAACTCAAGTGAGCCCTATCCCAAAGTACTGAGGCACCGTTTGACATCTTGGTTTACTGTCTGCTCATGAGTATCCTCATTTGATTCCAGATGAATCCATCAGGGCTCGTCCAACTTGTGGCCTCCCTGTATTCTATCGCTTTTCTTCTTTTTTTGTGTGTGTTTCAGAGCCTATGCCTTTACAAGCCTCCATTCTGGTACTTGAAGGGGACTGTGCCAACATGATACCAGCTTAGTCTAGGATTTGTAGCCCCTTTTTAAGATTCATTTAAAAGTACGTGTAGGATTTCATCAGAGCTGCCGTAATTTGTTGTACCTTCAGTTCATTGTATGCTGCAGCCTTATACAACTCCTGGTTTCCCCCCTCCCCATACCTCCACTGACCTTTGACCCTGTTTATACTACAAAACCATTGCACCAATTTGTCCTTTTGCGAATAAATGAGAAGTAATTTCAGTTTCATTTTGAGGGGTGGTCTTTCAAACCCGAATTTGTGCCACACACTTCCTATCAGCCAGTAGCAGTGTGCCATGTGCACTAACAGAAAGCGACTATTAAAACCCTGTATGGTCTGATCCTTGGAATTAAATTGGAATCATGTGCCCAGTCACAGACCAGACATTGCACAAGTTATTTCAAGTATTCTAAGTAATGCCTTGACCCAAGTTTAAAGATGCATACTGCACATCTTACTGTAATCCAGGATATGAAGTTTTTATGTTATTATATTTTCATTGTAGCTTTAGTTGTGAGATGTACAGTGTTGAGGGGGAAAGGGCAGACAATGTTCTCACCTTTTTAAACAACACCCCGTGCATCGTCTAGGGGCTCTGCAGACAAGAATGTGCAAACAATCCAGTTTGTGCCAAGTAGCCAACAGCTATTGTCAACTAAAGCAGCACAGTAATATAGAGTATTCAACCGCTTTTCCCCCAAACTGGGGGGACCGTCCGGTGAAGTTTTTTTCTAATGTGCAGATCTAGATATGTCGTGTAAAACCACGAAAAGGATCGGCAGAAGACATACAAGCGAGCATTAAATTATCCCATGCGAAGGATTTGTAACAGTTTAATCCTTTGTATCTCTGCTGGTGTTTATAAACATTGCTATAATTTGTCAGAACCACGCAGAATGATCCTGCATCGCTTCTGTGATTTTTGTCACCGTGGAACCCAATAAAAGCTGTGGGGCTTCATACATTTATTTGTTTGAACATCTCTCTACTTGGTCCATTATTGCCGTGCTCTCGCCTGCCAAAGAATAAGGAAATACCCTTACACCAACAATAGCGCAGAATGTCGTGCAAAGGGGTGTGAGTGGATCATTGAAACAGCTACAAAACACTGAAGCACAAATTATATACGGCGTGGGGTTTGAGGCCCGCCTTTGGGCCCCGGGAAAACTTTGAAATGTAGATGCTCTGTGGTACTTTTTACAACCTCCTGGTGCAACCATTGGTAATTTTTTTTTCTTGCAGTTTTGCATGTTGTAGCGCAAAAGCGTGCTTGTAGCGAGTTAGCAGAGCTAATAGCTCTTTAAGCAGCGCCTTCAGTCGGCGGACTGTGTGAGCGCGGGAGAGATGATCGCAATGGTTGAGTTCGGGCTGCTTGTTCCCGTATGTTCACGAACAGCTCGATTTGTTGTTCGTTGGTCGGCCGCTCGAACGCCAGGAACAAACAACCGGTTTATCGCTGGTAGTTAGTGACAAGCAACATGCAACTTGGTGGCGTCCATGTGGGCTACGTTATTCGAGAGTTAATGTTTGGATGGGCTGAATTCTTTTCTATATTGTAGCGTGTCCTACGGATCAGGGTTCGACGCTAGTATAGATTTACACACAGCCGCAACTCGCTGTTCTGGTCACGAAATCTCTGTTTTATTGATGTAGCGTCCACAACAATGCGTTTTTCAGACAAGCTCTAAACATGGCGCCTGTCGGCAGGGACTGCGCAGGCACGAGGCGGGAAAACCGCGGGCCGTTCGCATACCAGCGGGGGCAGCCACCAACTCCATGCAGGTCCGAGCTGGCGCCCCCACCGGCGCTACACCGCCCCCCCGGACTCTTGTTCGTCCCTGAACGAGGCGGCGCAACCCGACGGGCCAGCCCGAGGCCATCCCGGTCGCTCCTGTGCAGCTTACAAGGCAGTGGAATAACAAGTACAAGTATTGTGGGTTCCGAGGGTCTTCTTCGCTACCATGGGGGAATCCAGGGGTCCAGTGTGGAGGAGACTCCGGTCGCCGTGGTGCCCCCGGCTTTTCTTCGTTGCTCCGGGGGGACGGACTCCGGTGGAGGGGGCTCCCGCTGGACCTCTGGCTGTGGTGAAGCTCACAGAGGGGTGGGTCCATCATGGTGTCTCTGTCTCTGGTGGCCCGCTCCTCCTGCAGAGTGGCTTGCACCCCCAGTCGCAGGCGGATCCCCCCGCATACGTCACCCAGGAGCCAGGGGGCAGACTNCCCCCCTGCCCGCACTGGCGCCTCCTCGGCCAAGGCACCGCGGGCTGCGCGCTCCCACCATTCAAGCTGCACATCGCCCAGGTAGCGCTTGAGCCGATTGCGATGCACGATCTGAGCCCTCGCTCGAGCGGTACGCTGCACTTTGTAGGCCACGTCGTTGAGGCGTTGTAGCACCGCGAAGGGTCCGTCCCACCACCGCTGCAGCTTGGGGGAGCGGCCGACCTTCTTCTTTGGGGTGAACAGCCAAACAGCTTGGCTGGGCTCGAACCCGCCCTCCTGGGCGCGACGTTCGTACTGCTGCTTGTGGTAGCTCTGAGTCCGCCTCAGGTGTCGCCGGGAAAACTCGTGGGCCCGCGTGAGCTTTGCTCTCAGCTCGTCGACGTAATTTAGTGCCTCGGTAGTCTCCGTCTGTTCCTCCGGTGACCCCACAACGACGTCCAGGGGAAGTCCCACCTCCCTCCCGAGCATGAGCATGTTCGGGGTGAGCCTGGTGCTATCGTGCTGGGAGGATCGGTAGGCCATCAGGACGTAGGGAAGGTGTTCGTCCCAGTCGTCCTGATTCTCATCCACAAACATGCTCAGCATGGTCTTCACGGTACGATGGAACCGTTCGACCATGCCGTCGGACT